AGGTAGAAACATTCAGAGTTGGTGCGGCAGGGAGCCTGAGGCAGAGGGGAAGTGGCAGATCTCCTCTAACTCAAACTACGGCAGGGCCGTCCAGCCCAACCCAAACCCAGGGCCACTCAGGGTCCTGTGGAATTGTTGTCCCTCAAACCCGGAGCAGTGGGGTGACTGCTGGTAGCACATCCAGCCGGGGCCTGAAGGCCTGACAGAAGAGGAAGGCTCTGTGCTTGGGGTAGACACAGAAACCCTGAAACAGCTGGCGCCATACAAACATCTGGGAACTGGTGTGCAGGTGAAGGACGTGGGGTAGCCGAGCTGTGGGAACAGCTTCTGGGCTGTGGTGGGGCCTCGGCTCGCCAGGCTCATCCACTCATGCCCCGCTAACATAAGGAAAGCATGCAGGGGGGTCTTGGCACTGTCAGTCCCTTGGCCACCCCTAGCGAGGGGAGACAGCCTGATAAGTGACAGGAATGGGGACATGGACCACCCAGTACAGGAATGATGGCAGCACTCCCACCCTGGCCAGGACCCAGGCCTCTGTCCCACACAGTGGAAGTTTTCCAACTGTCTTATTCCCGGGCTCTTCTGACAGGGCCAAAGACCCTATGGAATTCTAGGTTTGCCAAAAAGTTACATCATCTTAGAGATAGAGGCATCAGGGACTCAAGTGCACTCTCCCTCTCCACTCATGGATCCGAGAGTTTCTGCATGGGTAGTCAAGGTCACAGTTAGTTCATGGCAAGAGCCAGACCTGGGCCCAGGCCCCCGGACCCTGCTCCTGCTTTGCCTGACAGCACCAATTGAGTCAAAGGAATCCTTTTGTCAGTTGTGCCTTAGTGTGGGAATGCAACTGTCAGCCACTTAGGGGACACTTCTACTTAGTAACCCAATCTTACTGAGACCTGAAATGCAGACGATCTAACAGGGCCCTCAGTCATTCCAGCTTAGGACCTCACACATAGGAAGTCAAGGAGGAAATAAAAAAAAAAAATGACTTACAAACCTAACGGGAGTGGGCAGAAGCCCACTTGGGGAAGAAGCAGCTTAGAGATACATCAGCCTGGCTTCTGGCCATACACAGAGCATGATGGGGCACCGAGTCTCCACCATCTGCTTCCAGAGCCATCACACTGGAAATGAGGAGGTGAGCCCTAAAGACCGAGAACTGGATCTTAAAATCTACAGGTTGCCAAGCAGGTATTTCCCTCATAAGGTGAAGTACAAGATGCCCAAGAGACTTTTCTATACATTTCTATATATTTGATTTGGAGGTGGGAGATAGTGGAGATGTACTACAAGGCCTTCCCACTGAGCTGTACCCTCAGCACTTCAGTTTTAAAGTTGTCCATACCGGGCTTGAAGCTGTGATCCTGCCGTCTCTGCCCCCCACCGTACTGGGAACAAGGCGTGTGCCAGCACACTGGTGCATCTGATTCTCACATTCAACAGGCAGAAGAGGCTGGTGGGACAGATAAGCTGATCTGTGACATGTGTTAATCTGCACCCAGCCCCTGAACTGAGTAAGCCTCCTTCCAGCTCATCTACAGAGCACTGGGAGATACACAACCAGGAAACCCTGAGTGGAGCTGGAAGGTGCTGGAACTCAGTGGTCCCTGGCTTGGGGAAGCAGCCATTAGGGAGCCAGGGGAGCCCTGGTCCCCACAGCCATCACCAATAGACCAAAGTATGTCCACACATGATCTTTATTTGGAGCCACCTGAAAACAGGAAGGGTATTCGCACTGCACTGAGCACAGCACTCTTGAAGATGTCCAACTGGGCTTGTGTTGTGGTTTGCATCTGGGTGGCCTCCTAAGCCTCATGCAGTCATGGAAGTGGCTAAATCTAGCATTTGTGATTGATTTATTGTCCAGTGCTGGGACTGACGATGTGAATGCTGCACCTGTCCAGGGGTGAAAAGCCAACATACATTGTAAGGGAGATAGGGAGGCATGCTTTCCCCTTCTGCCCTTTTACTTTTTACTAGTGGCTGCCATGAATGGCTGCCCCTCAGCAACACAACCCTGCCTTGGAGCAAAATGAGTATGGATTGAAACCTCCAAAACCAGAAGATAAATAAATCTTTCTTCACTTCACTTTGGGTGTCAGGTATTTTGTCTCAACAACAAGAAAAATTAAAGTAACCAAAATAGAATTTGGTACCAGAAGTGGGGTACTGCTATAACCATACCTAACCACATGATTCAAAAGCCTTTGAAAATGGCTTGTGGGAAGAGTTTGAAAAGGTTCAGAGGTCTCACCTGAAAGAGTGGTACTAGAACAATTTAGGCTGTTCTGCATGGGAGATTCTAGTCAGAGCTCAGGAGACCAAGAGGCTGAAAGAAAGCTTGCTGGTAAAGACCAGGTACGGGAGGTTCTGCTGGGAAGGACTGCATTGGCTGTTGGACTCCAGACAATGTGTGTTATGGCTTGGCAGAAAGTTTGTCTGCATTTTACTCATGTCCAGAAACTTTGTCTGAGCCTCAGATTAAGTGTGCTAACTGATTAATCTGACAAAAAATTTCAAGTCAGTCAAATGTTGAGGTAATAGCATGGCTAATGTTGGGGGCTGTAAGCCAGATTTATGCTGCAAATCAAGGGCAAAGGGCTCAAAAGGCTTATTTAAAATTTTGTGAGTTTGGCCAGAAAGCTGTGGACTGTAAGAGCTGAGAAAGGAAAAAGAAAAAAACAGATGGCCTGGTGGCATCACGGAAAATGATGAGAGGTCTCCACCCTTTAAAGTCTCAGAACTATAAAGTAAATTTTGCTTGGAGGAGAAACCCACAAATCACCATGCTCCAGAATAGCAGCATCAGCCACATGAGGTCCCAAAATGGCAGAGGCCACATCAGGTTCCAGAATGGTGGTGACACAGAAAATCTGTTGTTCACAATCAGGTTCAAAGTGATCACAATCCAGATACTCAACCCCTACAGCCAAGAGAGAGGACAGTCTGGCTACCACTCCAGTCAATAGTGGACCTTGGCAGCATCCACATGGTGCTGGTTTTAGGTGCATATAGAACGAAGTTAAATCAGCTTCCACCCTGATTTCAGAGGGCATGGGAGGCCAAGCAGTATGCCTAAGAGGACAATATGTAAAGCTGTAAGTATGAAGCCAAAGGTACAGTGGAGAATCCAGAAGTTTAGAAAAGCCAGGAACATGGATTGCCTAAGAAAACCTGCAAGTAGAAAACAAGGCCAGCCCAAGAGAGATGTGAGAGCTAAAACCACTGGGAGTGCCATAGGGATGGAGTCACCCAAGCTCTTTGGAGCTCACAATCTGATTGCTTCAGATGCTAGATATGGAACTCCAAGACTTAATGCTTGCCATGCTGGATTTTGGGCTTCCTTTGGTCCTATTCCTCTGTATAACTCTGTTCATATCCTTTAAAATGGTAATGTTTATCTTATGCCGTTTCATGTTGGGGATGCTTAAATTTGTTTTCATTGGTACAGGGGCTTATAGCTAAGAGTTTGCCTTACATCTAGAAGACTTGGGGCTTGAACTTTTCAGCAATGCTGAAACTGTTAGGGCTTTGACAACTCTTAGAGATGGGCTAAATGTCTTTTGCATAAAGGATGTACATGAGTCTTCAGGGGACCAAGGATGAAAAGTTATGGTTTGTGTCTGGGTGACCTCCCCACTCTCATGCAGTCATGGAAGTGGCTAAATCTAGCATTTGTGACTGATTCATTTTCTGGTGCTGGGACTGACCACATAAATGGGCGAAGAGCCAACTATGATGTAAGGGAGACAGGGAGGCATGCTTTCCCTTTTGCCCTTTTACTCTTTGCACTTGTGGCTGCCATGAACAGCTGCCCCTCAGCCACACAGCCCTGCCTTGGAGCCAAGTATGGACTGAAACCTCCAAAACTATGAGATAAATAAACCTTCCCTTGCTTCACTTTGGGCATCAAGTATTTTGTCTCAACAATGAGAAAAGTACCAAGACAGCTTGGCAGGCCTTGTGCCTGCTCCTGTACTCACCAACTCTCACCACTATCTCTTCTTGTCCCCAGGGCTCCTGTTCACCTAAAGGTGACCACTGCAGCTGGCACTGGCTCTCCAAGGACCCTTCCCACTGCCCTGGGTAGCACCCAAAGAAAGGGCAAGTAGATGCAAAGTTTCATGGGACCTTGTCTTCATCAAATTTTATTTTATTTTTGAGTCACTCTCTTGACTTATGGGACCTGAGGATGAGGGCTTGGGTATCAGCTGGCCCAGGTAGAGAGGACACTTCTGCTTTTCTCTGGGCTCTGACAGGGTTTTTATTTCTAATTTCTGCTTCTCAACTTGAACGTCTCTGCCTCCCTCTTACTCCAGGCCAGTGAGTGCTGGGGTACAGGGAGGAACAAGTGCAGCTTGTCCCACCAAGGCAAAGGCTGAGTCATCCCCCCAAGAGGCACTAAAGAGGTGACTGGCCAACCTTGGCTTCCATGGGGTCAGATTCAGTCAGACTCTATTGGCCTCTGCTGTGTCAATAAACTGAGTTGTAATAGGGGGCTCACAAAAGTCAAAGGAGCTTTGGAACTCCCCACACAGCAGACAGACCCAAGGGAGGTCCCAGGCCAGGTGCTAGACCACTCAGCCTCAGTGAGAGGCCTCCACCTGGACTCACACTAGGAACCCTCTTCTTTTTCTTTTTGACAAAACATGCAGCTGACCATTCTTCTGCTAACATTATTTGATCATCTGCCCCTTCTTGGCTTGGTGGGTCCCCATGTGGACCAACTCACACTCCTGGGGAAAGACCTCCCACCACGTACTCTTTAAAGGTCATTTGGCAGTCTCTGAGCCTGCGTCCTGAAGAGCAGCTCTCCTCCCACAAACTGACATACAGAATATGCAGCAAAAACAAAACAGAGAAAAAACGCGAACTCCCCCACGCCTGCAGCAGCTTCAGTGCAGGTCTGCAGCTGCCTCTCCCTGAACAGCTGGATGTCGCAGAACAATGCCCCCAACACACCCGCCATTGTTTAGAGGAACACAGGAAGTCGGAAGTGTTTTTGCAGGTTCAAATATTTATAGAATTTTGCTGCACTGGTCACTTTGCAAGAGATGTTAACCCGACGCTTCATGGCACATTATTTAATCATTTGAAACAAACAAAACACAACAAAAAGCAACAACAATCTTTGAAGTGCCACAGATGAGATGGCAGGCTGGTGTTACCATCCATTAGTCCCTCTGAGCTTGGAAATCACTGTCAACAGCAGACAATCTTCCTCAAAAGTCCCTGCGGGGGGGGGGGGGGGACACGGGACTGTCATGCTGGAACTGTGACACTGCTGTCAGAGAGCGGCCAGGGGCTGGTTCCGAGCTGTGAGCGGCCGCACACATGGACCTCCCACTAGAAGTCAGTGGAACAGAAAAAGTTCTATTGAGAATTTCCCTGTGGACCAAACCTTGACCCATGATTCTTATAAGGAAATCAAGATATTGGTGAGTTTATCCATATGTTAGGGTCTTCTGAAAAAGAAATGCAAGTAATTAGAAACAACTGGGAAATAATTCTAACACACCATTTGGGCAAGCTGCATCTTTAGTGGGGAGTTGTCTGGGGTTTGCACAAACAAGAGGCTGAAAAGTGGCAACACAAATATTTCATTTCCAACTACTCCGAAGTTTCCTTCAAGGGTCACCAGCGCCAAAATACTATCATCCTCTCTGTTTGCAAATCTAGGTACATGTTTCATTTGTCGTTCCTTAGACAATTTTTAGTTTAAATAGTCAAAATTAGAACCTTAATTTTACAAATTATTGAACACCAACAGGAAATCATGTGTACGGGAAAAACAATAGATGGATGTGAAGACTGTTTCCAGCCACAGCTTATGAGAAACAGAAATAATGAAAAAAGTATTAAATTCAAAGCCTATGGGAAATCTATTTCTTATTAAAGGCTCTTATTTACCTCAGAATAGTAAAGTTCATAGGAGAGATTTTGAAGTTACTAACTCTTTAAGTCACCTTTTTTCCCTAAAAATTGACTGGCTTGAACCCAGGAAAAATTCAGAATGAATTCAGAAAGATATGCTATGGTAATTTAGAGAAAAACAAAATGGAAGAGCATTGTATTTTGGGCTATGAGATACGGTAGGGTAAAATTCTTCTGTTTTGTTTTGCTTTTTCAGGGTCCTCTTCTTCCTTCTGAGGACTAGGGTAAAATTTAGGATTTTGGCTTAAAAGAGGTCTTTGGATGATATCAATAAAATTTAGGAGGAAGCCGGAACAGTACATATATGCACAGACATTCTTTCATTTGCTCCTAAAGCAGGAAGTACACGCCCACAGAGAGCTGTGGGAGCTGGGCCCTCCCTCCCTTCCTTCCTTCCTTCCTTCCTTCCTTCCTTCCTTCCTTTCTTCCTTCCTTCCTTCCGTCAAGATACACGGAGCAATTCCCAACCACAAGACAGTGAGCCACCTCTCCCCATCAGATTCCTCCTGAGAAGAGGCTCAGCCTGTCTCTGCTGCTCCTCTGACAACTAAGGCCCATTCTGATTTTGCTGGGCTCTCAAAAGAGACCCCTGTGCAGAGCAAGGAGGGACACAGACTGCAGGTGATCTGTCCACGTTACCTTGATTCTGTTCTGTGTGCCACAGTCCAAATACTCAAGGTCCTTAGGAAATAAAATCATTCAATATAGCTAAGAATGGGCCGTGAAAACCCAGCAGGTCAGTCCAGAGCCAGCTGGCAGTGGCCAACAGTTCACATTTTAGGAATTTGAAATGTCCAGAAATGAAGTGATATCTCAAAAAAAAAAAAAAAAAAAAAAAAAACAAAAATTAAAAGGAGAGGGGGAAAGGAAAGCAAGGATGGAAGAAAGGAAAGGAGACGTGTGTGCTAACAAGAATATCTCACTTAGAAAGGAGAGACAAATGCACACAAATGCACGAACTGCAGGTTAATTTGGTATTAAACACAGCAGGGCACCTGGGCCTCACAATGCTTCTGTGACGACATAGGCCTACACATACATGCATGAGGCTAATTCAGGATCATTCCAGAGTAAAAATACAAAATACGGGTTCCTTTAAAGGGCCAGGGCCAGAGCGGGGCCCATGGGGGAAAGGCTCGTCACAGAGAGACCCTGCTGACAGGACGCACAGAGACGTAACCAAATGTGGTCTTTTTGGTAATTCTAGTTGGCATGGCAGCAAAATGTCAAAGATGTGGACTGGTGTCCAAGAGGATTATTCTCAAATATGACCTTACAACTACATTTGTTTAAAAAACATCTTTGCAGAAAGTTTCTTAACCTTGCAGTACGTCTATGCTGATGGTTCCTAAAATGAAGTACGGCCAGGGTCAGGGATTGGGGCTTCTAAGGGAGAGCGAGCCCTCTCTGAGTCCTGTCACACAGAAGGGGTACTCTTAAATAAAATAGCACTTCCTTAAAAATCTGCCCCTAACAACTGTTCACATCATAGAAAAATAGCAATTTTATAAAAAGAAATATAGTCACTTTGTTAAAATGGTTTCTTTTAAACCAGCAATTATTTTTATATAAAGTATTTCTAAACATCCATACAGAAAATAAAAATAGATAATACTGAGTGCAAAGCAGACAATGGCATATTTGCAAATGATCAAAGCATTTCATTGCCAGATAAATATTACTCTTTAGTATATTACAGTACGAGTGTCATCTTTTAGGAATTAAAAGATATTGCTTTTACTCTCTGATGGTAAGTTACTTATAAGTCAAGTCACTCCCAGCAGAAGGCCAAATTGATTAGAAGTGGGTCACACATTCATTCACATCTTCCCTCAGCTCAAAGTGCCGACAGACAAGGCAAAGGTCCTGCCCAGACCTGGGCAAGAGCAGTCACACCCAGGAACCGAGGGTGTTTGTGGTCCTTTCTGGCTCATCCACAACATCTTCCACATTTCCATTCCACACAAACACAGACGGATGCCTAACTCTTTACCAGCGTGGCCAAATCCATCAGGAAGCAGGGTTCTCTAAGGATAAGCACTAGGTCTTCATGCTATAGAAACAGACGGTGTCAGCGGACGGGTGCTGCATCTCCAGGAGTCGACATGGAGGATGAGAGTCCACTGATGCTGGTGGAGGGTGAACTGGGACTCTGAGCCCAGCAGTTCCCACCTTCTGCTGGGCCAGACGGGAGGACGGACTGAACCACAAAATACTCAGCGCACCAAGCTGGCCCTGAGCCTCACTGGAATGTCATCACACCCTCTCCACTCTGCTGGGGTCATACGAATCTGTGACAAGGGAAAGTAAGTGAATAAAATCAGTGATACATTTGACTGCTATGTTTTCAGTTTGATTCTCAGACCTTAAATAAATTCGTTAAAAAAGCAAATTTTCTAAGTTTATAAAATTCATTTTTAGACATTTCAACAATTTTTTAAACTAAAAAGTACAAAGCTATTGGTAAGAGGTTATTTTCAGGGAACATGTATGGATATTACTCAAACACAGATGGAAAAATCGAAGTTGCTTAGTACTGTCATGGCCTCTGGCTGTTATTCAATTAACTATAAATATAGTGCTTCTTAACCAGCGGTTATGCCCCTGGCTGATGCTTGGCCATTTTCTTGGCTTTTATAAACCACAGCTCCAGTGAAAACTTCCTTTACAGTGCCTATCTCTGTGCCCAACAGCTATCGCTTCGAGGACTGGGGATCCCGACACCCTAACTGTATGACCAGCAATGTCTCCACATGCCACTAACCTGGGACTAGATGCGCACCTGTTAGCACGTGTTCAGAATTCAGACATAGGCTGCGTCAGACTGTGCCACCAAGTCAGTCCCTTCTAGAGCCTGTCCTGGACAACTCCAAACTGAGCAAGATGACCTGGATTTCCAAATGGACCCATGCAGAAGTGTGAAAGCAATAACCACGAGCTGCAAAGAGTACTGGGAAATCAGAGGTCTTTTGAGGGCTTTGGAATCCAGCAGACCTCAGCCTTAGACACATGCCTCCTTTGGGTACAATTTCCTGTCACACTGGCTCAAAGGTTTCCTAACTTTTGAAGAGAACACGTTTAAGAAATCTGGAAGGGATATAGCCATTTTAAAAAAACATTGTGGAGAGTTCTAAAAACAATTCAAAGTAGAGCTAGCATATGCTGCAGCAATCCCACTGCAGGGAAGGCATTAGAAGGAAAGGAAGTCAGCACAGCACAGAGCCACCACCTTCCACATTCACGGCAGCAGTGCTCAAAATGGCCAGGACAGGGAAAGGCCTAAGTGTCCAGCGCACAGACTCAAACAAACCAACCAACAAACAAAACCAGTGTGTTTACGCATGTTCAACGGAGTATTACAGTCTTAAAAAAACAAGGGAATCGTGTCATGGTACAGTAACAGGGATGAACTTTAAGGACGTTATGGTAAGGGAAGTAAGCCTAACAAAGAAAGGCAAAAGCTGCATGATCTCATTCATATGTGGAATTTTTAAAAGGTTAAATTCTGAGGAACAGAATGAAATGGTGGTCAACAGGAGCTGGGGGTGGAAAGGAGAAAATACTGATTAAAGAGTATAAATCTTGAGCCGGGCGTGGTGGCTCACACCTGTAATCCCAGTGCTCGGGACGCTGAGGCAGGAGGATCATTGCGAGTTTGAGACTAGCCTGGGCTACGAAACAAGCTCAAGGCCAGCCTGAACTGCGTAGTGAGACCCTGTCTCAAAAAGACAAAAAAACCAGTGTAACTCTTAGGCTGTAGAGTGAGTAAATGCTGGAGACTACAGTGCAGCCCGGCTATAATCAACAATAATCAACGTTGCACATGTGAAACTTTCTAGGAGCACTGATCTCAAGCACCTTCCCCACGCACCAAAAACGCTGTGTGGGGTGATGAGTATGTTAACTAGCTTGGCTTTGACCTTCATTTCACAAAGTGTAATAAAGCTGCACACCTTGAATACGTAATTTTTATTTTTCAATCATATCCTAATAAAGCCAAAAGGACAAAGACAAAAAAGGAAAAAGAGAACAAAGCGAGGCTCAGAACAATGAAAAAGGTGATTCATTAAAAGAAATCTGGAAGGACAGTACAGTTGACCGAAAGAATTCCAAAACAGTCCTTTCTAAAGTCTGTCTGGAAAACTGCATTACGAGGGCCACAGAATCCCCAACTGCTCTGGAACGTTTTGTGTTGTCCTTCTCGCAGCTTTTGAATGTGGCTGCCGCCTATTTGTGATAGGCTAAGTACTCTGCTGTGACAACCAAGCCCGTAGCTGAGCACTGTGAGCTGGCAACAGACAGGGTGGGCTGGGAAGGCGGCTGCTCTTGCTCCAGGGCCGCCCAGATAACAGGCGGTGCAGCCACGAGGAGGTCCGTGCCTCCTGCCGCTCGGCCTCAGCCACAGTGAGCGGTCAGGAAGTCGCGTCCCAGAGCTGAGCTGCTGTGCACTGAGCCTGACGGTGCCGTGATGCTGAGAAGGGCCTTCTGTGAGCAAAGATGGCTTTTTCTTCACTGGGAATGTGGCAAGTAGCCTTTGTAGACGAGATGTGGAGAAGACATGCTTCAGCCACATGGCAACCCTAGAGAGGCAGGCTCCCCCAGCCCCCAGAAACCTCAAAGCAAATAAAGTACCCATGCTGTGGATCCTCACCCTCTAGTACCCGGACCCCAGCGACACCTCCACAAGATGGACCTGTGCTCACAGCCTAAATCATAAACTAACGGCTCAGCCATCTGGAGCCAGGGAAAGAGTCCGCAGGAAAATAGCTCTGCTCCACCTCATGGATGGTCTGGGTCCAGCAGAATCACAACATGAGCTCTGTGATTTTTAAAAAATTTTCTAGTAGCTACATTAAAACAAATAAGAGGAAACAGGTGAAATTAATAATATATTTTATTTCACCAAATATATCCCAAATAGCATTTCAACATGTAAGAAGTGAATATAAAAGTATTAGGGTTTTTAATTTTTTTCTTTTCTATACTAAGCTTTTGGAATTTGGTATTGACAAGCACAACCCAATCTGGGTGAGTTATATTCCACACGGTCAGAAGTCTCACAGGACAAAGGGCCACCACCACACAGGACAGCACAGGTCTCAAGGGCAGAGTGGTGACTCAGTTTGGATAAGGCTCCCCCAAAGGCTCATATATCAAGGGTTCAGCTGCCAGCCTGGGACACTACTAGGTGGCGATGGGCCCTTTTAGGGGCGGGGCCTACAAGGACATCAGGTCCTCGGGCTGCCCGTGAGTGGGACACTGTGACCCAGCCCTTCTGTTCCCTGTCTTTTCTTGCCATCCAGCAGCCATGAGGAGAGCAGCTCTCCGACATCACACTGTCCCTCACCCTAGTCCCCAAAATAACGGATCCAACAGAGATGGACTAAAATCCCTGAATTGTGAGCAAAAGTCAGTCTTTTTTTGTTAGTTAATGATTTCAGGTATTTTGCCACAGTGACAGAAAGCTAACACACTTGGAACATTGAGAATCTGGTTTGCAATGGGCTCTACTATAGCTGAAGACAACTCGTGGTGACGTGTCCACCCCTTGAATGCTACTGTGCTTCAGGGACGTGCTGATGTCCAGCCTCTTACTGGTGTGTCTGGCTTCCTGAAAACTTTCCTGACTCCCCCACTTCTAGCCTGAAGCAGAAAGTCTCCCCTATCTTCCTCTTCTACTTATGTTAACAGAGGATGACATGAAGGCAGAGGGAACGAGTAGGCTCTCCGGACTCTGTGCCCGAGATCACACTTCAGAGTTAGAATAAGTCACCCAGCAGAGATGGAAATCTGTGACCTCAATTAGTTTTGAGCTGCTGACTTTTCAGACAGAGCCAAAAAGCTCTAGTTGGAATAATCACTCTTAATTTGAGATAATTTAATGATAGAACAGGTACCGCACCAAGATAAGGTTCTAAAGAGCTGTGTGTGTGTGTGTGTGTGTGTGTGTGTGTGTGTGTGTGTGTATGTGTGTGTGGTGAGTGGCTATTGAGGTTCACTACATGACTTTGTTTTATGGTTCTAGAACAGAATCTGAATGGACATGGACTGTGAATCTGAGCCAACTCTGAGCCACGGGAAGCAGGCCTAGTGCACTGGGTGAAGGGAGCAGGACTGGGTGGGACAGAGGAGGCTGAAGTTAAAATGCACCAAGGAACCAAGAGAGCGCGGGCCAAGGGCTGCCACAGAGATCACAGCAGTGCTGAGTGCGAAGGTGAGGGGGCCTGTACGATTCTCAGAAAGGCAGATGCTGAATGCCAAAGCCTGGTGATCATCACGGAAAGGCCATGGAGGCTACTGAGCAATGCATGCGTGGCCACCCTGTGCACTCTGCCTTCAGGGATGAAACGCTCCCTGCCTGCAGAGTTTCTGGTGTCCCAGGGAGAGGAGTGAAAGACGGCTACAGTTGGACTTATTAGACACTGATGTTTTCGAAAACATTAGACAGAGCTCATGCCTAGCACACACAAGGCCCTAGGTATGCTCCTGGGCACTCCAAAAACATTTTACAAGAATAAAAATAAAAATAAAAGGTCAGGAGAGATATTCTTAGCAGATTCTTACTCTGGGTGCCTTCAGACACCTGCGAGACCCCACTCACATGCTGAAGGCCACGAGAAACTTTGAGGGTGAGCAGATCTAGTGAGCCTGAATTCGTATGTTGTAAATCACTCCTTATAATATGTGCCCATAAGCAGAGACACAAAAACATTCCCAAACTGATGCTTTATTTTTATTTACTCATTTATTTATTTTTAACAGCAGGATTTGTCTGACTTTAAAATCCTAAAGACTTTTTTCAGGATGAAGGACTGATACATATGGAAACTCACTCTGGAAGCCTATGCCAAGCTTTGACCAGCACTTAAAAAAATCAAGTGGAGATACTTTTTTAGGGGAAAAGGGTTCTGGAAAAGAAACTCCCAAAACATAAATAAACTCCAGAAGCCTGATCTATAAGACAAAGGGTTGTTTTTGAAATTATCTTCTCAAAACCTACAATCTTCAGCTAAACTAAGAAAAAATACAGAAAATGAAATAAAAATGAGATGAAAAGTGAGACATTACAACTACAAGGGTCCTAAAGACTACTGCAAACACTTCCATACCACAAACTGACCTGGAGGAAACAAAATTCCTGGACCCACATCATCTACCAGGGTTGGAGAATGAGGAAATAGAAACTGTGACCAGACCAATAATGAGGAAGCTGAGCCAGTCACGGAAAGTTCCCATCAAAGAAAATCCCACTCCTGAGTCTTACAAACATATGGACATGTACAAATAGAAAAAATAGAAAGAGCTTATAAATAAATTTACAGTCAACCGGTATTTTAGTAAAGATACCAAAAACACAGAAAAAAAAAAAAGTCTCTTCAATAAAAAATATTAGGAAAACCAGATATTCATAAGAAAAATGAATTTAGATCATTCTTTCTCACTATATACAAAACACAGTTCAAAACTGATTAAAGACTTAATCTTATGACCAAAACTATGGAGTTATCTGAAGAAGATATAGGGAAAGTGAGACTGGTTTGAGTAATGTGAATTCTTGGCTATGACCTCAAAACCAACAAAAGCAAAAATGAAACAGATGAGATTCTATAAAACTGAAAAGCTTTTACACAGTAAGCAAAACAAAACAAAATGAAGAAACCAAAGGAGTAAAGAGAAAATGTGCAGAATAGGAGGAAATATTTGCAAGTTATATGATAAGGGATTACTACCCTAAAATACACGAGGAACAATTCAACAGCAAGAAAACAAGCAATCTCATTAAAAATGGGGCAAAGGATCCGAATAGGTATTTCTCAAAAGAAGACATCCACACGCCTTACAAGTATTTTTGTATCACTAATCATCAAGGAAATACAAATCAAAATCACATCATCATTCCACTGCTGTCAGCAAAAAGACAAAAGATACCACATGCTGGTGGAGATAGGAAGAGCCATTATGGAAAGGTAGGAAAGTTGCTTAAAATACGAGTGTAGAACTATCACACAGTCCAGCAGCCCTCTGTGGGCCCGTATCTAAAGGAGATGAATTCAGTGTATTAGAGACACTGCTATGCCCAGGTGCATCACAGCACTAGCCAAACAGTAATGATAGGGAACAAACAACTCTTATCAACAGCCCAGTGAGTGATAAGATGCAGTGCATAAACACAAGAAAACACTATTCAGCCATAAACAAATCCCTTGTAGAGCATGGATGAAAGAAGAGGACATTATGTTAAGTGAAATAAACCAGGCACACAGTGTACTGAATCATTTCACCTACAGGTGCAATAAAAAATGTTAATCTCATTTGTGAAAGATTTGGGGACCAAGAGAACTCGAGGAGGAGGAGGAAAAGAAGGGGAGGGGATGCAGTCAGAAGTAAGATGAGGGATGTACACTGACAGCTCCCCACAGCGACCTGAATCATCATGGCCTGAAAACAGGCACTACTAAAAAGAATAATTTAGTAGAACAATGTCGATTCCACAGAAGTAAAGAGAAGACTGGTTACAGAGGCAGAGGTGTCTGGACAGGTACGGGCCATGTTGCTTAAAGGACACAAAATTATAGTTAAGGAGGAGGAGTAACCACCGGATCTGTCTGCCACACAGCACGCTCACTATGGTCAATGATCTCTTCCTGAGAAATGCGAAAAAGGGTATGCTAAGTGTTCTCATCACAAAAACGGTTGCCACGTGAGGCTGTACTTTTGTGGTTAGGCAGATTTAACAATTCTACTATATATCAAAACATCATACTGTGTGAGTACAATTATGTCAATTTAAAATCAGTCTAAACAACTTAAGAAATACCTTTTCCACCAAAATAGCAAAGACTCCACATCCCTAACATTGTCCCATCATCAAAAACCCAACTGTCAAGCCTGAGGATCCAACTGGACCGTGACACATGGCTCATTTTACTAATGGCTTTTGCTCAAGGACCAGAACAACACTGGTTGAACACCCTTACAAACTACATTGCATTCGTGGGAAAATCCAAGTTTCCTGAGTATGGCTATTTTTGCTTAATAAAAATGTCAAGCTTCTTCCAGATGAAACAACTGCTCCTTCCACCTACCTCTAAATTCCCAGATTTCCAATCAGAAGCCAGAAGCAGGGCTACAGGGGAGTGGAACCAGCTGGTGGGGCGGCTCAGGGACGCAGAGCCGCCTTCGCTCTTCTTTACTCCACTAGGGCCCTGGCTGCAGGGTGTAAAGTCACTTCCGCTATGCAGTTTCTATCTGCAGACCTTTAGATACGTCTCTCAACTCCTAGTCATTTCTAAGATGTGTAATCCATTCCCAGTCTCTAAAAATCATACTCGGACACTGCAACAATTCTTGGTTCTGTTTCTGTCAGAATCAAACAGGTGGAACTGAGTTTAGGGAAAGTCACTCTGTCACTGGGAACCTGCCTTGTGGTTTCATGATTTAGAGAAGGCTCCAGAAACAAGTTATGGTAAGAGAATAAAGAGCCCAGAGACCTACAAGAGCCTCCTCTGAGGTTTAGCAATCACAATTAACACACCAGGTGTGGTAGCAGACATCTGCAATCTCAGCTCTCAGGTGGCTAAGGCAGGAGGATCACCAGGAGTTCAAGACCAGCAAAGTGAGGTAAAGGTCAGCCTGGACTACAGAGCAAGACCCAGTCTCAAAAACACAAAAAACAAAAACAACAAAAACCTTAGGGGACATGAGACAGAGTTGGAGGGCACCATCACCTGACTATGGTTTCTCATCACCAAAACTCATCAGGGTGAGGTCTCCAGGAGAAAGTGTGGAAGGTGGCAAGGCCTTGACGAGGTGACGCCCTCTTGAGCAGGGACTATGTGGCTCGGAGAGTGGGCCTCTCGGAGCAGGGAGCAGCCCAGCACCTCCCTCTGTCTCCACATCCACACTTCTCTTCACATCTCTGCTTGACCTGCATTTCTACCAGCTTATGAAGCAGCACAAAGTCCTCACTAGATGCAGCTGGCCAACTGTGAATCTCTCAGCCCTCAGAACTGGAAGCCAAAAGAAATCTCCTTTCTCTAACAATCACCCAGTCTCATCAGGTATTTTGTTACAGCAACAGAAATGGGCTGATCAGTGGGTGAGTTTTGGGGTGAGGTGCTGAGAAAGGGCGGAGTGTTACTTCAGCTTTCTAAATATTTTAAAGTTTCATAAGTGGTATGACAGTAAAAGCAGAAAAAACAAGTAAGGCAAAGAAGAATCTCAGAAAGTGCAAACGTAAGACAGCATAATAGGTCATGGTACACCTTTTCTTAATTCAATCAACCTGGAATACTTTTTCTTAATAGACTAATAGTTATGAAGTTATTTGAGTGAGTGCCTAAAACCTGAGGAGGAGAAAACAACTGTAAATGCTATGGTCTCCAGCAAGATTTATCAAAGCACCAGCAGCAAAGCCAGAAGACTGTTTCACCTATATTACTGCTTTAGATAATTTTTTATAGTTGTTTACGTAAGTGTCTACAAAGATGCAATCATTTAAAATATGTGACAAGATCTTAATTTTTAAGGAAAGCTTCTGGGTAATTCTTTAAAAATGAAAAATCTTTTGATGAAACAATTAGCAAAGTTAACTTCCTCTTTTGCAAAAATGCAGATGGACATGAGCCTCCTGCCCTCAGCGGGGTTAGAGCTGAGCATTCCACATAAGTGCCCGACACCTGCCCTCCACCTGTCTCCTCACCTGGACACCAGAAGTCTTGGCTCGTGCTCTTCTCCTTCTGGGATGCCACATGCCCATTTTCTTCCCAAGTGACGATGCCCTTGGGGATGGAGGGTGGATGCCCCACTCTCCATGCCCGGTCTCCCCTACTCAGGGCCATGGGGCCCCCGGGCTGCCAGGCCTGGCCCCTCTCGGCCTTCAGTTCCTCGGCCTCCTCTGAGGACTCTGTGCTCCTGCAGCTCAGGCTCCTCATCCTCGATACGGAGCTCACCTCCTTCATTCTCATCAGGCGATCAGGGTCCGCCCTCCTTGGCGGGGATGCCAGTTTCTCTTGCAAACTTTCGATCACTTTAGAAGGGCTTCTCAGCCTCTTTTCCAAGCCAGACACACTTGGGGTTCTTTCTATAACATGGAACAATGTGGACTTGAAGGGTGGCTTTGGCTCTACCAGATTTTGCTCCAAAGGCTTGGACTCCAGGGGGCCAAGTTGAGGCTCAGGGCTGGTGTCTTGGCTGGTCGGGACCCTGTCCACAGCTGAATGTTCGGAAGCCTGGGGAGCCCTTTCTCCCACGAAGAGGGGGCTATGTGTCCAGCCACATCTCCTCCGGCCATAGAAGGCATCTGTGGTTGCTGTGGGGCCGAAAGACATTGCTGAGCTGGGGGAGGACTCTTCTCTGAGTGGCTCCAGGCTGCAGGTACTTGCATCAGGCTCAGGTGACTGGCTCAGACCTGCTGTCCTCGTGCCCGGAAGCAGGGACTCCATGGCCACCTCGATGCCAAGGATTCTTGCTGCCCTTGCCTGCAGCGATTCACTTGGGGGGATTTCTGCCGCAGTGCTTTCACCCAATGGCCTGTCTAGCTCACTGGTGCTTGGCTCCGGTCTCATTATGAGCCCAACAGACCGCAAGTCTGGTGCAGAGAGGCCTCGGCTTTTGTTGGTAAGGGTCAGAGGGACCCCTGTGCCCCTCTCCTCGGCAAGGCCAACCTCCAGAGGAGCTTCTTCCCTCAGCTGCACAGAAGTGAAAGCATCGGTCAATTTCTCCCTTTGTGCTGGCTCCTTTGGTTCAGCCAGCCAGGATGGGGACACTGGCTTTGTGTCACTCTGTCTAAAAGATACCACTCTTTTCACAGGACCTGGCCTAGCTATGAGCTCATCTAATCCATTTACAATCTCCTGCTTTCGATTCTCTGTCACCAAACTTCCATCGGCTGACCCAAAAGGGTCACTTCTGCTGTCTTTCACCTTCGAGAAGTCAGGGGACTGAGGACAGGTAGACAGGTGGCCAGCCTTCAGCTCCTCGCTCCAGCTCTCAGACTTACTCTTCACTCTTCCTGACCAACGTTCTGGGTGCTCCAGCACCAACTCCCTCGGCGGCGGCTTGACTGACTTCTCACTGTCTTCATAGAAGCCCCAATTCCTTGGCCTAGAATCAACATAGTCTTCCTGCCTTTCTATCTCATTTTCCTCACCGCTGCTGCCGCTGCTACCATCAGGGCTGTCTTCCCCTTCTTGAAGCTCCTTGTTAAAACTTTCCAGCTGACTGATCAGATCCCAGGGGCGCCGGCTAACTGGTTTCAGAAGAAACTGACCAAACAGCTGCTTACTATTGCAAGGGCCTGCTGTGGGCTCTCCCTTTACCACCTCGGGTTTGGGGACAGGGCTGGCTCCCTGCCCACGGACATCTAGGCAGGGGTGAGGCTGGCCTGCTTTTAGTACCGGTGCCTGACTGGTGGTTGGGGACGTCCTTGAAAAAGCACTGTTGCTGGACGGGTTGAGGGATGTCTGGCCCTTTAAGTTAGGAGCGTATGCCTTCTGCTTTTGGTCACTGGACCCAAACGGCACATGCCTGTGACTGCCAGTGGCCTCTAAACGTTCTGGCATTGGGGCTGTGTCACTCAACTCACCCAGCATGGAAGCAGGGAGGAGCTGTGAGCTTTTGGACTCCTCAGGGAAGCTGGTTTGTGTTTGCTGGTCCCGGTACTGGTTCCCTGGCCAGGAGCCAGAGTACTTGAGCGCTCTGTGTTTTGCAAGGTGGATGAATCTGAAGTCATCTGTTTGTTTGTCTCCTTCTGGTTCCTCCTGATCTTGCTTTGGGAACTCTGTTTTCCCAGCCATGCTTCCTGTGAGTGCTTGCAGCTCCAGGTCGGTGGAAGACATGCTCAGCAGACTTTGTTCTTGCAAGGCTAGGCTCTTATCAATCCCAGGCTTTTTATCAGCACTCTGTTTTAAGTCATTGTTGTTCGTATCTATCTCTGGCAGATGGGATTCTGATTTAACTGGGATAGAAACCAAACAAAATATCGTCTCATTCGTTTTCTTCTTTGAACTTTTCTTGGTCTGCATCCCAGTTTCAAACATTCTGAGCTTGGTGTGGGTTTCACAGGTCCTCTCACTGCCTTGTGGGTCTGGGGAGGAAACGTAGCCCCCTGCATGGCCATGTTGGCCACCTTCCCCTGGAGCCTGCTGTCCTCTTACAATGCAATGCTCTCTTTGGTCAGGGACACCTGCATTTTTTCCATCCCCCAGGAGCTGGTCCCAGAGCCACTGTGGGCCGGGGTCAACCAAGGTCGGTCTCCTCTCAGTCCCCAGTGGGGGTGTCAGGCTCTGTACATTCAGAATGGCACTGTCATGGTGCCTTCTCTCCTGAGCTGGTTCTGGGGCAGGAACTGGACGAGCGTCATAGTTTCTGTCACCAGGCTTCACTTCTTCACAAAAACCCAGAGGCTGAGCTAGTTTGATATGGCGGATCCGTGGATCATCAAATGGAATGTACTGAACAGAGCCTTCATGGGTGGTGACAGAACGAGGGTGAGGAGGGAGACTTTGGGGAGAGGCTGGGCCTGCATCACATTCATTCCTGGTTCTGAGGAGGCCAGGAGGAAGCGGGCCCCTGGCCCCAGGCTTTTCAGTGGGCTGGTGCTGTGAGCCATGCTCACCACTCACATAGCTGGGGACCGAATCTTCCAGGTAGGGGTTAGGGATGTGCTGAGGAGGCGACCTGTATGAAGGCGGAGGCACATAAACTGGGGGCTCCAAGCCACAGTCGGGCACACTGGGCTCATGAGTGGGGCCACTGGTTCTGTTCAAGCAGGAACTGTGCAGGTCTACCTGCTGGCTGTCCTGAAGGCTGCTCCGCTCCCCGCCCCTGGGTTGTGGGTGTGAACCATACAGAGGCCTGATGGGTCTCCCAAACTTGGGCCGGGGGAAGGGGGCTGAGGAGCCAGCCTTCTCAGGGTTTCTGACCAATTCTGAGTGGGGTGCACAATTGGGAGCATATGGGGGCACTTTGGGAATGCCTGGTAAATGTCCATCATCTAGCGGAATGGGAATTTCCTTGTAACTCAGGCTCTCAGGGGAAAGAACTCGAGGTAAGGACTGGGATTTCTTTTTGTTCTGAGAAGTCAGCGCATGCTCTCCTTGAGTGAATGGGTACAGATCTTGAAACAGTTTCTCCCTATCACCATCAGACATCTGCCTCCCCAACTTCCTTGGCTGGTTCCAGCTTTCCAGGCTTACATTCTGCCACTTGTCAGGACCCGACATCCTCGGCTCTTCTTCCCAAACTGCTTTCTTCATCACGTACTCTGTCCTTACTCCGACATCCCATGGACCCTCCCTCATGTGTGCAGGCAGACCGCAGGCTTGGGCCACTCCTCTGACCTCCAGGTCATCCGGATCCTGTGGGCCCAGCAAGCTGGTGGCCTTCTGACCTCTTCTCCAACAGGCCTGGTCGGTACCGATCTGGGACTGAGAGGACCGTACTGAGGCAGCTTGATTGTAAAACCTACAAAACACAAAGACATGGATGTGATTCATGGAAGAAATGTGCCTTTCTTGCTGCTGTGACTGGTTTTTTAGGTCACACTTAGGTCAGCACCTTTGAAAAACTGGTTCCCACACTATTTGCCAACTTTAAAAAAAATAAGTCCTACTCTTTATGGCTGGCAAACAGCCACACTTTGCCATCATCCAGGGCTTGGGAATGGCAGCACCAGGCACCTGCAGGATCACCAGAGATGCTGGGTTAAAACACCCAAGGGTCTAAAGGGATTCAGAGTGGTCCTGGACCACCTGCAGTACAGGCCAGGCTCAGTCTGACCTACTGGGAGTCACTTTTAACAGCAGTGATCCCTAAATGTCTGTGAGTGTCAGCATCACAGAAAGGTTCCTACGAGGAAGGCTGCCAAGTGCTCCACGGAGTCTCTGATACGCTGTGACTGGAGGTGGCTCCACACTTCACATCTCTGATGGGTTTTCGGCGGGGGATGCCACTGGCCTGGGACTTTACTCTAACGGTTACCAACACATCCAAATCTGCAGTGCCTTAAAACACCCCAGTGGTCCAGGCTGTAGCAGGGTGTCATCCTTAGAATCTTGGACATGAAAATCCTTCTGGGTTCCCCCAGGGGTTCCCAGTGTGCAGCCAGCACATCCTACAGGACTATACTTCAGCTAGCAGCAGGCTACGTGGATGACAATGCCTTCAGATTGTGATGGAGCTGGAAAGTCCCTAACACTTACTGACCTCAGCTATTGTAACATCACAGGGTAACTCATTATTTGTGGTAACACTGATGAAAATATACCTCCTGACCAGCTGGTCCTGATCCACATGATTATGCGGACATCATACTGGACATGGTAACCAGGAACTGTGCTGTGGGTCTAAGTATAGACTATATCACCTTTAAGGGCTGGGGATTTAGCTCAGCGGCATAAGCATCTGCCTTGCAAGCCCATGGGTCGTGAGCTTGATCCTCGGTACCGATTAAAAAAAAATTACAAAATCACCTTTTCATGTCCTGTATTTACTTCAAGTAGGCTGATGGGAAGACAGCACATTGCACCATGCTGGCAGCGCCTCAAACTTTCTGGATTCAGCCTCATATTCACTGACCATGTGTATCACCTACATCAAAACTGCCACTGATGTGTCTCCCAGAACATGGCCCCACCACGAACTGACACACGTCTCTATACGCAGTGTCCAGTGTCCCCCCAGGAGCTCTGTGTCTAGCCCAAGATCTGTATTTTTAACAAGCTCTCTGAGGAGTCCTTAGATGGCTAGAAAACACTGCTAGGACTGGCTCTGAGACTGAGGCGGGGGGGGGGGGGCTCTGCCCATGGCTGCTGTGTGCTGCCGGCTCGATGCAGAATGTCCCCATCAGCCCTTAAACAATGCAGACCCAGGGCCCCCTCCCAGGGACTTGGACTTGACTGGGCTAGAAAGCCTAATGCAGGCACATTCTCCAAACTGCCCAAGGGACTCTGGCATACATCCGAGGGTAGGGTCATTGCTCCAATGCAAGTGAAGGAAGTATTTGAACAGCACCATCACAGTGTGCATGAACGTGGACCTCAACCACACACAGCCAGACTCCAAGGTCATGATACAGGGACCAAAACCAAAAATTACCTGTAAACTCCCTACTCACAGTCAGGCACTTTAATGAGTCTCCTGGTGTGCACATGCGTGTGATCTGCAAATTGCGTTAGCATTCTCCCAGGCCTCTATGTTCCAGCATAGGTGACAGGGTGACAGGTGACAGACGCTGGATGCTGTGTGCCAGGTCCACACTCAGGGCCTCCATCTGCCACCTCACTTTGGGTTCACCAACATCCCTCTCAGGTAAAAATGACAGCCATTCCATTTTACAGAGGAGGAAACTGAGGCACAGAAGTAACTTGCTTAACACTAACACTTATTAGTCATTTTTGCCATGTCTGATAGTGTGTTAAGCATGTCAAATAAGTTATTTCACTTAAACTTATCCCTTTGCTAAGGAAAAAAAGGAAACTGAGGCACAGATTAATCAACTTTCTAGAATTACAGTTTTAAGAAGCTGGGACAGGATTCTAGTGCAAGAAAAGTAAGCCTAACCAGTGTAGTTTCTTTTTTTCAGTGTTTCTTCCAATCCCTCAAGTGTTTGACTTTCAAGGTTAAACAGTATTCCACGACACATGTATGTGTACATATGTATATACAAAAATACATGCACGTATACACACATTTGTGGTTTACGTCACCTTTGTCCCAGTGCGGGACATTTACAGAAATCCATTCCAACAGACTTTGAGAAACACAATGCAGGTTATTTGGGGAAGTTAGGGTCCCTGTTTATGCAACCCTTAGGGCAGGAATGAGCAGATCATGGTGCACATCAGCAAGCTGACCTCGCAACAACCATGGCCCATCTGTCACACAGAGGACAGCTGGTCTTGCTGCATGTTTTCTTCCCTATATTATAATGATTTTTCCTTATTAGATACATGAAAATAATGTTTCATTATTTTGAGTTTGAATATTAGTAAAGCCGTTATTTTCATGTGCCTAAGAGTCACTCTGTCACAGTTCGGAGTTTTAGATAACTTTTAAGATACAGCCCACTTTTCAGCTCGCGGGAGGACAGAGCAGACTGAGGTGGCAAATGCGCCAAAGCCACTGTCCCATGAAATGTGCATGCCAGCCTGGGCAAGAAGCGGGCTGAGGGGCACCATCCCAACAGATCTGCAAGAAGCCCCTCGTGAGACGTTCCATCAGTGCTAATGTTCCTACTCTTCTTTTTCTACTGCTGGGGGTGGAACCCAAACCCTTGCACACGCCAGGCATGTGCTCTCCCACTGAGCCATCTCTCCAGTCCTTTAATGCCCTTTAATGTTTTGGAATTCTTTCCCTTACAAGGTGAGGGAAGCTCTTAACTTACAAAGCAGGCACTTCCAGTGCACCATAGGTATGGGTAGAAAATATCTTTGATCCTTTTGAGCCCAAGCAAGGGACACTGAAGAGTCTGGATGTTTCTGCATGTAGTATGCGGCAGGCAGTGCAAGCTATCAATCCTGAGCATAGGAGGAGGCCATGATTTCCTTGTTGCTTTTGTTGGCATCAAAATCATATTTTGGGGGTCCTTTGGGTTTTCAGAGTTAAGCAGAGCACTTCTTGGGTCAGGCTGTATAAAAAGCCATCATTTTGGAAGCCACCAATCTGAGCCCCCAAACATACCCACCCACTCAGGTAAGCCAGCCTTCAGCTCCAGAAGCCGCCGTCCCTTCCCTTAGGGACTCCTGCATGTGGTCCACAGCGTGAGAAACTGAAGGTGATGAATAAAACCCTTCAGTAACTACTTGGCTACACAGCATCAGACATTAGGACAAGATTTAAAAACTAACTTACGGCACTGCAGCTGTCACAGACTGAACCGGTCAAGAGGAAAATACAGTGAATCTCAAAGGAGGGTGTGGCCAACACTTTGCATCACATTCTACTTCTTATCTCTGTTCTTAAGCCAAGTGTGAGCAACCCCCTGTGCTGCAGATCTCATCTAGTGCCACTGCTATTCCTGAATCTGGCGAGGAGGACTTCCAGGAGCAGTACTGGGGCGCAGCTGTTTCCAGCATCACTGGGGTATCACAGCGTGCTGTGCTCAGAGAGGTGGCTGGAACCTACGGTGCTGTTTGTGCGTGTGGCTGCCCTGAGCATGATGTGCAGACAGATAAAAAATGACATAAAGAGGACAAGAATATAAACAGCGGCTTTCCTGTAGATGTAATGGGGTCAGTTTTCTTCTCCATACAAAAATTCTCTCACCTTAACATTGCCAAACTAATCAAAACAGCTGAACATTGTGGATGCAACATTTTCTACATTTTCAACATTTCACAAGACACCAAAATCTGAATTTAAGGAAATGGAGGTTACTAGGAAATTTTTACTCTATTTTAAAAGACGGTCCATATGCCCCCGGAAACTATAAAGCACTTATTTAATGAGCACCTATTTTGAACCTAGCCTGAGCCAGGCTCTCAGACACAAGAGGGACCCCACCAGGAGGAGGTTCTGGAAAGGCCTCCCACTGCAGGACGTGTGCTCTATTAGCTTTGCTGCAGGGCACCCCTTGAGGACAAAATATGAGCTAACGGACTCCTAAGGCTTCTAAGACAAGAACGTGTTTTCTAAAATAAAATAAAAAAACAGAACCGAAGATCAATGGAATAGATTAGAAGATATAACCACAACTACAAACACACTTAATTACCTTATTTTTGATAAAGGGGCCAAACATGTTCACTGGAAGAATGACAGTCTCTTTAATAAATGGTGTTGAAAAAACTGGCTCTCTACATGCTGAAAACTAAAACTAGACCCATGCCTATCACCATGTACTAAATTAAAATCTAAATGGATCAAAGATCCGAATATTAAAACAGAAACACTAAATCTATTGGAAGACAAATTGGGTAAAAACCTTGAAGACACAGGGGTAGGTAGAGAATTTATGAACAGGAATCAAACCGCACAGGAAATACTTCCCCGAATCAATAACCAGGATCACCTCTTATTAAAAAGTTTCTGCACATAAAAAGAAATCTCCAGCACAGTGAAAAGAAAATCCACAAACCGGGAAAAAATCTTAGTGAACTGTCCCTCAGACAAAGGACTTCTGTCTAAAACATAAAGAATTAAAAAAATCAGATCCCAAAATTCAAGGACCCAATCCAAAAATGGGCATCTGAGATGAATACACAATTCTCAGATGAAGAAATACAAATGGCAAATAAATGCATGAAAAAATGTTCAGCATCATTACTCATTAGAGAAATACAAAATAAAACCACATTGAAATTTCATCTCACTCCTGAAAGAATGGCCAGGATCAAGAAAACTACCAACAACAAATGCTGGAGAGGCTGTGGGGAGAAAGGAACTCTCCTGCACTGTTGGTGGGAGTGTAGACTGGTGCAACCATTGTGGAAGTCAGTCTGGAGATTTCTCAAAAAGCTGGGATTGGAATTCCCATTTGACCCAGCTATTCCACTTCGAGGCATATTCCCAGATGAACTGAAAACATCATACCACAGTGATATATGTGCACCCATGTTTATAGCAGCACAATTTGTAATAGCCAGATCTTGGAAACAACCTAAGTGTCCATCAACTGAGGAATGCATAAAAAAGATGTGGTATTTTTATACAATGGAGTACTACTCTGCTATAAAGAATGATCACATTGAGATATTTATAAATGTGTAAAGCTTGAGACCATACTCATAAGTGAAATAAATCAAACTCACATGTATAAAAACCAAATAGTTTCCCTAGTGTAAGAAATGGTAAGAATACATAAAAGTATGTGGTAAACATGATTCCCCATTATATTGATTTGAAGCCTTATAATGCTTTCATTCATTAATTGGAATGGTTTTATTCTGGGTTGTTTGATTTTATTATCTGTGATGGTATGAACAGTTATTTTGAAGAAAACAAGACAATATAATAGCTAGTGCTGATTTAATATCATCTTGTTTTGAAGTCCCATGAAGCTTTTGTTCTTCTGTCTCCGTCGGTTTATCATGTTGTATCTTACTGATTTTATTATATGTGATAGCATATACAAAAATTTTTATACACAAGGAGATAATATAGAAACCATTGTCTTTTTCTGTTAGTTGGTTCTAAATACCCTGTAATACTTTCATTCTCTTGAACGGTTTTACACTGTCATGTTGTGTTTGATGCTATAATATATGAAGTTATACTCAAATATTTCAAGGAAAAAGACACTGTGGTAGTGACTGTTATGTTGGGTTATCTTGTGGTGAAACACTATGTTGCTTAAATTGTTCTGCTTTGACCCGTGTTATTAGGTTGTTATGTTCTCTTTTATCTTAATCTCCTTCTTTCTTTTAATTTTTTTAATAAGAAAAATTACCCCTGAAAAATGGCTTACGTGGGAACCCACTTTTGGGACCCCTTCTGTGTTTCAGAAGCAATCTCTCAATAAACTTTTCATATTCTTAAAAAAATAAATAAAATTAAATTAAAATAAAGATGAGGCCAAATTTTTCTTTTTTAAAAATGAAACTAATGACTTACATTTAGAAAAAGGTGGACAATGAGCCTCATTCCATAAACATGAACACACTGATCCAGGATAGAAAACAGATAAAGCAGCAAAGTAAAACGTGAGAGCCCAAAAAACTGTTGACACGTTTGAGGGAAAGACAGTCTTTATGCAGAACTCCAGGGAGAAAAGCACAGGGACAAGGAACAGGTTAGACTTGCTAACAGCTCCGCATCTCACCACAGAGAGGAGCAGTAATGCCAGGAATAACTTATTTTTACAAAGCAGTCTGCAAAGTACTGTGTGTGAGACACGCACATTTGAAAAACAACTTGTCTAAAGGGAAACTAGCAAATCCATCTGCTGAGCAAGGGAAAGTTAGGAGAGATTTGCTAGATCACATTACTCCCTTTCAAACACAACAGAAAACAGTCTTTCTTTGATTTATTTTCATTTTTGCACCACAGGGTTCAAGCCCAAGGCCTAGCACACAACAAAGCGCCCTCCTGGGGCCCACACCCCCAGCCACGCCCATCCTCTCGTAACAAGTAAAATTCTGGTAGGACGAGTGGCAGTGTGAGCAGACACAGCCACTGTTCCCAGGCTCTAATACGATTATCTTCTCAGTAGATTCCAGGTTCAGTGAGCCACACCACCTTGTGACCATCTGGCACAGCGGCCTATGACCGTGCCAGGTAGCCAGGAAGCAAGGCCAATGGACTGCAGTGCTGCTGCATGCTCTGGGGGCCCCGTGGAAATGCGGTTACCCTTCCTTCCCGCAGGGACACGATCCCACGCCTGGCCTTCCATGGGCAGTGCCCAGGGTGCAGCCAGTGTGGGCGGCAGGGGACCCCTATGAAGGCCTTGCACATCCTGGTGTAATACTTTCACCCTGCCTGCAATCTAGCAGACGCCTGCTGCTCCTGTAGATCACCTTCAGATTCCAGTGTCACTCTCTGGACTGGGCTCAGCACGGAGACCTAGCCTGCTCTTTCAAAGGCCACCAGCTTCCAGGATCAGCTGTTTCAATCCAGGTGCACAGTATTTAGTAGGCAACACGTCCTCTTCTCTGGAGAAGCTTTCTTCTCTAGACTGGCACGGCAGTAACTGTGGGCACCTCTTCAGAGTGACTTGTATTTACTGGCTGCAGGGCTAGGTGCTTACAGGCTTCAGTGATGGGTCAGTGATCTTTCCCTACAGAAAGTGTTCGTTCGGGCAGCTCCTCTGGCCAGGAAGCATGCAGCTGCACTTCTCAGCATACTGTGAGACATTCAGCAGCCCACTCTGCGCAGATAACCTCCTGACACAGGGCAGCAAGTAGGCTAAGTTTAGAAAGGAAAAATAGAAGGTCAGGAGAAGATTAAGACTGCAGTAGAGAGGTTGGTGTAAATTAAAGATCAGTCAGAAAAGATAAAGCTGTTCAGAAAACCTAATGGAGGAACATCACTATTTGACTGGAGGACAAATTATAGGCTGCATGGGCAGAATTCTACTAGAAAATCCATGAATGCTGGGTTAGACTGTTAACATGCTGTTATGACTGCTTCTCACAACAAATGACAGTGGATGACAACAGGATAGGTTAGCTGAGATAAAGCACCAGGCAGGAAGTTAATTTTTGGTTAAAAAATACACAAAGTTGATAACGGGTCTGGAAGAGAAAGAAAACTGCATTTTTGGACATAGACGAGACTAAATGTAGACATCTGAGGGAGGGGCACAGGAAGTGAATCCCAAGGCATGGGTGTCGGTGGTAGTGAGAGAGGCACCTGCTGACACACCAGGATGGAGACTCCAGCAGCCACGAGCAGGCAGCCCCGTGGGCTTGCAGCTCCTAGCTTGGTCCGAGTTCTACTAAAATGAGCTCATACTGGGAGTAATGCATTTTGGAAGCCATCCAGCTCACAGTGCCAATCTGCTCTGCCACAGGTCCATAATATTTTACAAACTGATGGTGAGAAGTGGATAGGAACTGCTCCTATGGATACCATCAGTCTTCTGAAATAGTTCTGTGCTAGGGCTTTTGATCTTTCAAGGTGCAATAAGGACTGTTTAGACACACAAGGCGGTCAGAGACTCCACTCATGAGGTCCTGGCTCCAGGAGTGGTGCTCAGGTGCTGCTTCTGTTCACTGTGTTCCTCTGAACCAACAATTCACAATGAGGGCTGACATGAAAGACTGGGCCATTCCAGAAATCGTAGCAGTATTTCCAGTAGAGTAGGTTGAATAACCTTAATCTGAACGTCCAAAATGTCTTAAAGTGTTTGGGGTTTTTGGATTAAGGGTATTCAACTATCAATATGCAACTGCTCCTATGTGGAGTGAACACACACTCAAAAAAAAAAAAAAAAAAACCTCAACCCTGAAATCAGAAACATTTGTTAGCCCCAAGTATTATGGGTACAGGACACACTTACAACTTTTTACATCTTTTCAACGTGCACAACAGAATCAATGGACAGGAAGCAATGCTTCCTGAAGAGGGATTTTTCCTCCTGCCCTTCCTTCCATCCCTCCTCCCTCCCTCCTTCCTTTTCTTCTTCCTTCCTCTCTCCCTTCTTATTTCTTTCCTTTACTCTTTATGTATTTCTCTTTTGTCTTATGTGTTTTTTTCCCCTGGTGTTGGGGATCAAACTCAGAGCCTCTGACATGCAAAGCAGCCCAAGCACGCTACCACTGAGCTGTACCCCAGTCCTGAAGGAGATATTTACGGGGTTAACTGTCATTCACATGGACTAGACAAATCTCTGTGAGGAGGACGAGGAAGGGGAGGGGAGGGGAGGGAGGGGAAAAGGAGGAGAAGAGAATGATGATGATGAAGAAGAAGAGAGAAGCTGGAGGAGGAGAAGAGAAAGAAGAGAGAAGCAGGAGGAAGGGGTAGAAACACCAGTGGAAGAAGGACCTCAGATCTGTGTGGAAGGAGAAGAAAGCAGTCCTAAGGAGACCAGCAGGTGGGCCCTGCATGGCCAGCTGGGGGGGGGGGGCTGGCTGCGTGCCAAGTTGTTCTGGCGGGAGGACTGGGCCTCCCCCAGTACACCCCCAGTGTCTCCGAGCCACACTCCTCCCACAGATGCCTTTCTCAGACACAAAGACCTGCTTCACAGATCCCCACCTTGGGCCGGGGTCAGTGAGGAAAGTGACGCTAATTTACTCAACTGATTGAGAAGGCACAGATGCAAAGAGGATGACTGTGACTCTGAAGGCAAGATGACATCTCTGGGTCCTCTATTCCAGAAGCAGCCTCCAAACAAGCGCAGCTGCCAACATTTCTACCCATACCAAGATGCCAATGATTTGCCACCAGGTTCCTCATGACAGAGGGGGTAGCACTGAGCCCATGCAAACACCACCTACAGTGTCTGCTTTGCCCTGGAGAAACAGCTCCCCATCTGAGCCACCAGGTGAACCCTGCCAATGAAAGCAGGGGTAGATGCCATTTCCTTCCACAGATGTGGCCCTTTACATCCAGTCTTACATCCCAGCTGCACTGCCGTTGAATGTAGGTTACTAATCATCTCCTGACCTGTTTCTCACCTTTAGGGAGGAAGCATCCAGATGCAAGCAGGTAGAACAAGAAGATGTCTGCAGCAGGCCCAGGAGCCCCACAAACTTGCAGCCAGCACTCGAAGAGGGCTATTCCAGGTCCAGAGAGCACCAGGCTGGGGGCACCTGCAAGGGCTACAGAATGGGCCAGCTGCTTCTGACTTCTCATCATACCTATAGAGAGTGGCACCAGGAGCGCGAGTGTGGCCCGGGTACTGAAGAGACAGCGTGGGCTTGCATGCTAATACCAGCGCTGCTGCAGTTTATATGTCCTCCCAAAGCGTCACACACTTGGGCGGTGACTGGATCAGTAGCGTGTGACCCTGGATCATGGGTGTGTGGTACTAGATTAGCCCGCTGATGCCCTTAGAGCTAGGTGTGATGCTGGGAAGAGGTGGGCCACTGTGGGTGTGGCCTATAAGGGCTCTGTAACCCTCCTCTTCCCTTGATCCCTGCTCTACTGCTCACTGCCATATAATGAACCCTTTCTTCTCTGCCATACCCCTGCATCATGCTACTATGTCTTGGAACCAGATGATTAAGGAGTGAAACCTCTACAAACTGTGACCCCCCCCCAAAAAAAAAACAAATGTTTTCTCTTTTAACTCCCAGGTGTTGGGTATTCTGTCCCATGACTGAGCATGCAGAATAAGCACTTTCTGTTTGCCTTCTGTAACAACCTTCACCTCTCTCTGCTTCTGTCCCTCACCTGTATACAGACAATGGTAAGTATTCTGCTTTCTGTGGTAGGCTACAAGGGATTGAGATAATACATTTAAAATGCTTGGCAGGGACTAACGTGTTTTAAAAACTCCTGTTTTTAGCTATCATTCCTATTATTACCTTGATTAAGAGAAATGATTAGTGGATAGTAACACTGAAGTTCTTTTCCTTGAGTCACTGTGGAAGAAGGCACAGGTGAACACAGAGGCAGGAGAGAAGCGCAGAGTTTGTCTTAGGCAATGATCCCTTTAGATAAGTACCATCTCATTTTCCAAATCGTAACATGAAGGCCTGGACAATAGCAGGAAACAATGATACAGTGGGCTGTCATAACAAGATGCTGCCCACCCCAGGGAAGCTGGTCTCTAAGGAAGAAGCTACACCCACTTCCACAGTGGTAATGCAGAATGAATCAATATTTAGCTTATTGAAACAAAACAGGAAGCGCCAGTCTCTAATCCATTTGTTTCCATGTTAATCTAACATGTAAAGCAGATTATTTCAGGGTTTTCAGACGTTGTCTCATGGATTTTTACCAAGCTAAACTGCTCAGTGTCACTGCAGACAAGAAAAGGCACCTTGGCTTCTTCTTCCTGCTCACAGTCCCACCACCACCCTCACTTTGGCTCATTCGTTCACTCACTTGATGAACATTAATGAGCCGTTCTCTGAGCCACTGCTCTATGGAGGCCAAGCCAGAGGAGGAAGGAGTGGGAAAGGCAGCCACCAATGAGGCAGAGCACCTCTGGTCCCTGCCACCACACCTAGGGAAGCCATCTAATGGCCTCATGGTCTGTGGCCAGGACATGGCAGCATGTCAAACGGACTTCTGGTCTACGTTCCTTGTCCTTTGTCAAGAACTCAAAGAAGGCATCATCTTAAAAGCAAAACAATGAGACCTGCATAGCCCACGTGTCCTGTGCCTGTGTTCAATGTCTCTCTAGTGGGTACTGCTGAGCTCTTGAACCCACCCAGCACTCTGGTTGAAGAAGGCACTCCTCATGGACAGCATTCCTGATGACAGCCTGGCTGCCAGTGCACAAGGTTCTCAGTGGCTGTGCCGCTATGAAGCCCTTGCATCTGTGCTAGAAGCTCCTGCTTTTCTTGGGGCTCTTGAAAGTCTGTGTTCAAAGGATGCAACCCACTTCTTGATGGGAAAAGCTGGGAGGGAAAAGCAACGTGAGCACATGGGCCACAGCAGACACAACACAGGCATTTCTGTCGATCACATTGTTTCTGAGCGAAAGCAAAGTTCCCCAGAGGGAAGGTTTCCAAAGAGACAGGGCAGATGGGAGGTCTGAGTCTTCCTGGGTGCGCATAAGCACGCACCCAGCTCAGGAATCCAAACTCCTGCTCTGAGCACCCAAGACACCAGGCTGCCAGTCGGGCTATTAAACAAACGTTAGAAGACAAATAATGTGTGGGGTTACCGTTCTGCACAGAGAGAGAGATGCATAGAAACAGATGTTAAACTTGGAGCTTTCCTTCTTGGGAAAACCATTTTCAGCAGGATATGATTTGAGAGAGGTTTAAAAAGGCCCTGAAAATCCACTGTTTACCATATCCAGTAGCACTGTCTGGGATAGATGTTTACTGATCAGATAGAAACCTCCCAAGACGAGGGCCCCACGCCACCACATCAGACACCCTCCCACTTGGCTCAGCCTCTAATTAGTCACAACTGCTGCTGATGACAGGAGATAATCACAAGTCATCCTCAGGGTTAACTAAGGAAGCCTTTTAACCAGAATTCCTGGGTGCAGCACAGAGCCTGCTGTGGTGAGACCTTCAGATCAAAACCTCTGCTATGTGAGTTATTGCACAGTTCCCTCCGATTCTGGGATTGCACAGGAAACACATCAAGGAAACCATGGATGCCCACCAGTCTTCTGCATACTTTAATGGTGGCTCACTATCTCTCAGTGACGGCTACCTGCATGTGCAGCCTACAGTTTCCTCTGCTACAGGCAACACGCAGCTCTCCCCTGGTCAGTTTCCCTTGATGTCTGTGTACATGCACACACGCGTCCTGTGGGTGGCTTCTGCATCACCAAGTGACCTCTACTCTGTGAACTGAGACTATGCGAGAGTGGTCTGCATCAAGACCTACTTCTTGTGAAGTAACAACCCCATTGGCCTGGAAACTGCCTTGCCCCAGTCCCTGCTGTGGCCACAATGCCAGCATCCCTGTCACCAGCCCCAGTCCTTCTATGCCAGCTGGAGGAAGGGACACCCCCACCATGTGTAAGTCTCCAGTGGCTGTCTAACACCACTGATTCTTTATCTCAAAATTGAAACTAAGACACTGCTCTGATGCTAAATCAACACATAGAACACAGTATTTAAAATCACAGTTAAAATTATCCTGAGCTCAAGCTACTCGGAAAAAAAGACACAGTCTGGAAAGGGACAGAGACCTGAGACACATGACAAGTAGGGACACAGACTGAGTTGGCTGCCCCAGCCCCCTGGGAGACAGACCAGCCTTGGCACTCCAGTGCCCACCAGCCCTCTCATGCCTGTGGATGATCGACTTCCCCTGCCCCTAGGACAACTTTGCCTTTTCACTTGGTGCATCCCAGAGAAGCTACCAAAGAGAAAAGCTTCCCTTATAGGAACCACTCAGCCACCAGAAGTCCTCCTCAGTCTGCGCTCATCCCTTCTCCTGGGTTCCCGGCACACCCCATGTCCCGGCACACAAAGGGGAAGCCATCGACACTGCTGCCTCCTCCGCTGGCCAGGAGATGAGTGCTCCTCCTCCTCCAGGTGCACCTTCCAGCCTCTTCAGTCACCGCACACGGCACATGTCCACGTCCTGCCCCCAGCCTGCTGCTCTCAACACTCAGCGCTTACACAATGCCGAGGCTGTGAGCCTAGTGAATTTATTTAAGGACTGAATGTTTACTAAGTACAAAATTTGAAAATAGGAATTAGTCACATCAGAGATGAATTAGATATGGTATCGGCCTTCAGGAAGCAGATGATCCCTGAGGGCTGATAGAAAGTGCTGGAAGAATTCATGGAACAGAGCAATTTCCAAGGACGGAATTGCAGGGGACAAACTGATAAGGTGAGGTCTCCAAGAGGAGATGAGGTGGGAAGGGAGCAGGGAGCACAAGAGGGCCCATGTGACCCCACAGGCAGCAGGACTGGGGCAGGTGAGCCTGAGGAGGCCTGCTGCAGACCAGCTGATGACCAAGAAGCAGAGCGGCACCGCCCGAATGAGGAGGGGGCACGGCTGGAGCTGAGTCCATTTCCTGCGCTCGCTGCGCTGAAGCAAGCATAGTCCCGTGCCCTGTATAGCTACAGACCGCAAGTTCTCTGTAATCACTCATTCGGAGCATCTCTGTGCAAACAAGAATTGACTCCTGGTCCTGTCTGCACCACTTTTTAACCACTTTGCAGTCCTCCACCTCCCTTTACAGGGGTCCCTGTCTTCTTGTCCTGGATCTGACAGGGCATGTATCGAGCATACACAAGGCTCTGGGTTCAACCCCCAGCACAGCAACATCATGCCTGTCATCTGATGTTCCCACCACCTGCCAGAATAACACAAACAGCTTGGCTTGCACCCTTCCAGGAACGCGAGTGGGGTGCCGAAGGCGAGCTCAAGGTGCTGACCTCAGCCTGCGTGAGCAATGGCAGTAGAGGAGCCCTGACTCCACCCAAAAGACCGAGATGGCGTGGAGCTGGACAGGGCTGTCCTGGGCCCCACGTGCCCTCCAGGCCTGGAAACCAGCCCAGCAGCGGCCACTAGGCTGGAGAAGACAGGCAGCAGGACTGCAGCTGCTCTTGTCAAGGGACCAAAGGCTGGGAGCTGGCAGCACACCACTCAGGCATTTGGATTCAGAATTCACATAAGCCACGGTCTGGTGGGTTTGTCTTTTTACATTTTTAAAGCTGTAACTCTTGGTACCTTGTTGTTTCCTCCCAAAGCACTTTTTTTTCTGATGGAGAAAAATAATTTTTTTTCCATGCCTAACTTTCTGTTGGTCTCCTATTATTAGGTACCCATTGGCTACTAAAGAAAAAAATTATTTTTTCAGGTCAACGGAGGAAGACCTGCGCTGAGGCTTTGGGTGCTGGCATGGAGTTCTGCATGTAGGAAGCGTAACTAAAAACTACATGAATGTTTAGTTTTAAAAACTGGTATTACAGTAAAACACGTTGCCATTAGTATCACTAGAAACAGCCCGCTCTCTCCCAACACACATCCTGTCTCTCTTGCCACTTTCTGGAGCAGTCCTGGAAGTCCTCATTTATGAATGTCTTTGGCTGTGCTGTCATGGCTGCCCTGATGTCTTGAACTCATTCGAAGTGTTTACTTCTCATGGTTATTTTAACCCTGGGGGGGGGTGCGGAAGCCACAGATGCTGGATCCAGTGGCTGATGACAACCACAGCTTTACAGCCCGCCTTTCTGTGGGGTACGTGCAGCAGGAGCCCCCACACTCTTCATCACACCTTGGAAAGACATTCGTGAGAGAGGACTTCCAGAAGCGCCTCGGAAAGTGGTAAGAATGATGGGATCAGTGTGTTCAAAGCAAGTGGGGGTACTGTGAAGGAGGATTAACGGCAATGGTCCTTTATCGTAATAAAGGCTTAACATTTAAACACTCACTATGCATCTCAGTCACACTGTGCATGTCCTTTGTACCCTTCAACTGTTACAATTTAAGCACGAAGTGCCCTCCCAGTGAAGGCTTGATCCCCACTGCAGCAGCGTTCAGGGGCGGAGGGGGTGGTGGCTGGAGAGGTGACTGGACTGTGATGGTGCTGACCTCATCAACAGATCATGGATGAGTTCACAACTGAGGGGCTGCGGGGAGGCAGGGCTGCTGGAGGAACTAGGTCACTGGAGGTGTGTCTTGGAAGGACGCAGCTCTCTTTGGTTCTTTCCCTGCTAAATTTGCTAGGTGCCATGAGGCGAGCAGCTTGCCTCACCACGCCCTTCTACCATGAGATTTCTACCTTGGAAACAGCTGAACATGGACCGAAAACTCTGAAGCCGTAAGTCAAGACCAGCCTCCTTTAAACTGTGCATGTCAGGAATTTGTCCCAGAAGTGGAGGGGCTGAGCAACATAGCAAACTTCAATCCAAACACTCCAATTCATCTCTCAAGTTAATCAGCAAACCCAGAAACAAGAAGAAGCCTAATCTAGTCAGCATTCAAGCATCTGTATGAAAGCACCCCAGTGCCACACAGCCAGCCACCTGTGTCACACAGAGACTGCTGCAGATCTAGCTGTATCTCCCCTCCTACAGGAGTGGGCTGGAGACCTCGTGGTTCTCAGGACTCTATTACCAAAAAGGGGATAGAGACCCTGGCCAGGCTGTGGAGGGAATGAGGAGCCCAGTGCCCACTCAGGATTCTAAAGGGGGTCCTACTGTCCCTATTCTGAAACCCCATTCGCCCTACACAGCACATGTGTAGGGGCTCCATGGCACCACCTTGACCTCATTAAGAACACAGTCTTCTGCTTTACAGTGGCCATCAAAATGGTGAGAAGGATAATTTAAATAATTAGCATATATCAAATAACTAGTGTACGCACTGAACTAACAAGTTCTCCAGGGAAAACAAAAGAAACAGGAGATAAGATACAAACTGATCATCTTGCAATGCAAGCTGAAAGACATAGATATCTTCAGCACAAAACACAAAACCAGAAAGAACAAAAGGCAGGAGACAATGAACCACAAGTTTGTCTGGGAGTAATTAAGTCTGTCCTAACCTAGCTAACTTATGCAGGAGAGCCCTCTCCCGAAATCCACAGCAGCACATGGTCCGTAAGTGAAGCCCAAGACTGCAGTGGGTGCTGGAAGTCCAAAGGGCAAAGCAAGAGCAGCAGCTCCTGCACCTTCCCCTCTGGGCTTCCTGCAACACCCCTCTCCTCAGGCACCGCTCAGACTTGTCCCACAAGCCCCTCCCTAGCCCACTCACTACAGGGCCAGGAAGAGGCAGTCTTGCCTTTGTTCCTGCCCAGAAGTCAAGGGGTCCTCCATGCGCTGACAAACAAAACCAAGGAGGAAGACGGTTCTTTCCTACAGATTCATCGCACTGCCCTTCTGTTTGTTTCTCTGGGCCCCCTGCTCCTGGTTGTCTCCAGTTCCTGCCCCTGCAACATGCTCCGTACCCTCGAGGCTGCTTCTGCACAGAGCTGTCCCAGGCCTGATAGTTTTAAAGACAGGCACAGTTTCATGAAGAGATAACAAGGTTTCCTCAAAGTTGAAACTGATTAGAAGAGAGTTTCAGGGTTACTCTCTCATGTTGCCTCTGAGAAAACTGCTGGGATTCTGTACAAAGGCAGCTGTGTGAGGATGGGACCCTGACATGGGCCAGTGTATATGCAAGTGCTTGGGTGGAGTCAGGTGACTATCAAACAAGGATGGTTCTTTTTCACAAATGGAGGGGTGACAGATCCCACTCAAGGCCCTGAGCCTGCAAAATACTGGGTAAGAAATGGGTTAGTCAGAATACAAAAATGTACCATCACCACATGAATGGTCATGAACTAGCTTTTAGCAGGTTCAAAAATGATTTCCACCCAAGGCAACCAAGAAGGCTGTGGAGAGAAGCAGGGCATTCTGTCACGGCTGTGGGTTCCTGAGGGCTCACTGCGGTGGCACTGTAATCAGTGTGGCTGGGACACCTTACACGCCAAATGGGACAAAGCACCTCTTCTTGGACCCTTCTCTCCCTCCCTGGCCCTAGTCAGACAGAAAGAGGTGGAAGAGTTCACTCACACATAAACCAATGCCGAAGTCCCAAGGCAAAAGCACCTGCTGGGTCACCAGGGATGCTTACTTACCCTGCCTCTGCAGCTCCGGAAGCTGAAGTCCTGTGGGGTTCCACGTGGTGCCGGGGCGCACCTCGGTGGCCCTCGGGGGTACTCACAGGGCTTGTCGCCAGGGCTGGCCTGCTTGGAGCCAGGGTAGTGGCGCCATCCTCACACCCATTCTGCAGGCCCTGGCTGCCTCTGGGCCTTGTCCTCGCCTGTGCATGTCCATCAGCCTTGGTACCACGCGGCCCTGGGAGGTCTCGGGATGGTCTGTACCCATGAGAGATCAGCAGGTCCTCCACGCTGTACATGATGTGCTGGCTTCACCGTCACTCACCCGCTGGTACCACTGTGGCGGCGTGACCCATCACTAGGGGGGACAAAAGAGAGCTCTGAGTGACCAGTCCATCCTGCAGTGCTGCGGTTCCCTCCACCTTCCTCAAAGCAGACGCCCAAGGAGTGCAGGTGGTGACCTCTCAGTGCCTGGACACCGTGTCCAGTACTCACGGGGCAGCGGGACACGGTGACATGACAAAGGATTGCACCAAGAGCCACCACCTCTCAAACAAGGATGCTGAGTAGTAGTTCTTGGTTTTTGTTTTTCAGTACAAGAGCTTGAATGCAAGAGTGCTCTGCTGACAAAGTTACATCCCACCCCTCTTTTATCTTTTAAGAAGAGATAGGGTCTCAGCAAGTTGTCCCAGCTGGCCTCAAACTTGCAGTCCTTTTGCCTTAGCTTCACAGAGGTGCTGAGATTATAGGCATGCACCCTACACCTGGTCAGAATAGTATTTAAGCAAAAAAGAAAGTTCAACTCTGCCCACCAGCCTCTTACCTCCCTCATCTAAAATAATCAGGCTAAATGGGCAAGGATGGCATAAACACAGGCATGGAAGCTGCGACTACTACTTTATGTTTCTAAAAAGAGAAACTACCAATGTGCAACTCTGCCCTGTTGCCCGCCCCTGCTTCCACCTCACACACACACCTCTTGCTTTGCACAAGCAGAGCAAGTGAAACATTGCTCAGTGCACAGCCATAAGGTGCTTCTGGGAAGCAGTCAAAGGTGTGTGGGCAACTCCCTGGCTGCTAGCTGCTAGCTGGTAGCTGGTGGCTGGAAACAAGTTTCCAACCAAGCATACACATCCAACCCTCAACAACTTGAAAAGTCTCCTTTCCACATGAATCTTTACTTTTCCCAATACTGGGGACTGAGCCCAGGGCCACTGCACTGAGTTATGTCCCCAGTCTGTTTTATTCTGACACAGGGTCTTGCTAAGTCACGAAACTACCCAGAAGGAGCTCAAACTCACGACCTTCGTGCCTCAGCCTCCCAGGGTGCTAGGATGACAGGTGTGTGCCACCATAATCGCTACACACAGAGCTTTTCAGAAATAAATTTATTCCCAATGACCTTGGGGACAAGTCTGTACTTTTGGTCAAGGCTGTCCACACCCAAATGCCACCTCAGCAGCTATGTCACCAACAGCTTGCCCCTGTATAATATTCTTAAAGGCAAGAGCACCAAGTGAAGAGAACAGAAATGGACAGAAATCCATGTAAAAGCAAAGCAGACGGGGTTGCCGTTCCGGCTTCTACCAGGGCAGGAGACAGATCTCAGGGACATCCGCTGCCTCCACGTCTTTACCCATGGCGGCTGGCTGTGGCCCTGGGTGAGCAGCACACAAAAGCTGGCCAGACCAGGGAGCTTGGCCAGCTCAGCTCGCCGGCTCCAGAGGCTGAAAATAGTCACTGGTCACTGTGAACAATGGCCAGGAAATGCCTGCTGGACTGTGCAGGTGAGAGGAAGACGCATGTGCTTCCTGTTGGTACAAACTGCCCCTGGGGCCCAAGGCACCGTTCTGCTGACTGCGTGTGTCTTCTGCTTGGCGTGCCCGGTTGCAGGAACAGAGGAGTCCCTCCGTCAACTTGATGAAGATTGCCCAGGTCCCTAATTTTCCACTGTGCCCTGTTCTGTGGGAGGCTGACAAGCAGCAGGAGTTACCACACTCTTGGAAACTAACTGCAGCAACTCCATCACTCCAGAGGCTCCCCTGCCTGACTCTGCGGAGCTGCAGGACACGGAAAGAAGTTAGGTGCAGTGAGCAAGGCACTGACCCAGGCAGGAGTGCTGAGCAGAGTTCTCGGTACAGTGCAGGCTAAGGCTTTCTCAGCCACACACCCACTGTCTAGCAGAAAGTATGCTCTCAATGTAAACACTTGGAAAGATGCTTGTTAAGTGAATGCACAAAGGAGGAAGTGGCATGTGAGCTAGGTTTAACAAACTGGAATTTACTGGCTAAGCTTCATTTTATGTGTATGAGAAGGGAGCGCAGCACTTGAAACAGACTGTGGGTACAGTCGTTGCAGAAATACAGAAACAGTTTAGCAATCAAACCATGGTGGCTGAGGTCAGCATCTCCAGACCCCCTGGCTGTGTACCCAGAGTTGGATGAACTGTGGCCCATTCATTAGAGTGGTAAAAAGAAAAAACTCTCACACAACATGGCTGTGGGCTGCTGACCTATACTGGGGTCAGGAAGGTCAACCAATCAAGCTAAGTGTTTGCAATTATATTTAGCAAAATCTTAAACGGCACGACAGCCCACAAACGCTATCTGAAAAGCCCCAACCACGCAGAGGCCCTAACCTGACCTCAGTGGTCTGAGACAGAAGTACTGTGATTGATGGAAAACCTTTCTTCCACTCACAGAGGCCAGAAGCTCATGAGAAGGCGGCAGACAAAAGGGACAGGCTTCCGTGCTCAGGCGTGGAGAGGCCAAGGCCAAGGGCTGAGCCACGACCTAGAGTAACCTCCGTGACCGCCTGGGCACTGGAAGACATCCACCCTCACCCTCCACCTGTGGTTCCCAGCTCAGAGCCCGCACCTTTACCCACCCCCACACCTGCACACACGTTAACCCCGCTCCTTACAGGTTTGCACCACCCTGATTACTTCTGGTCTTTGACATATTTCGCTTGCTTTCTTTAGTGTCCTTATCTGTTCACATGGGATGGGCCGCCCCAAACAGGAGTGGGCTCCCATCTGGAGGGAGGGTCTGCTGAGTGCCGGCAGGGGATCAGGTGCCCAGTGAGCTGCTGCATTAGGATGATGTCCTTTAAAGTCCTCCTTCAATACCAGCATTTTAAATCATCAGCTCTTAACTCTATCACTCATGCATCCACCCAAACAACTGCTGTGAAGGAAGCTGCGTGACAAAATTGGACAAAATACTAAACTGTCGCCATCACTATATCCACACATTTCATATCCTGGAAAGGCAGACAAATAGTTAAATGACAAATAATCACGTTTTTAAACTACTCCTGTCTTCACCCTTTGGGATTGCTTGTGATCCATTGTATGGTGTCCGAGATTTTCTCTGGTAGATGCACCAGTTCACTAAGGATGGCTCTCAGTTCAGGTACATTTTCTCCATACCCCTTGCCCCATGACCCAGTAAACAGTCTCTCAAATGAACCATGAGGGAAAACTTGCTTCATAAAGCTACAATCACAGGTCACATAAAGAAGATTGGCATACTTGACTTCACTTTGTGTTTCCAGCAAATTTTCTAATGTGCATGTAGAATGCTACCACTTTACAGAGAGGCAGACTAAGGTTCATAGTTTGAGGTTACAGATATTAAGTGGATACCAGATCTATCTAGCTTTGAAATCTATGCTACTATTGGTATGTTCATCTCATCCATTTATAGTTCCTTCCTTACAAACAACTTTCTTGATTTATTCAAATAATGCATACATACAAATAATAAAATACAGAAGATATGGTGGCATTAAACTTAACTACATTTAAAGTGAAAAATTCTCCTTTATTCCCTGCAATGAAGGTATCTCTTTTAGCCACATATGCATATGTATACACACATGAAGGAGAATCCTTGGCTTAACTATAATGTCTTGGAGATAATCCTAGTGTTCATATCTAAGCACTCAGCACGTGACTCATTCACAAATACATGACTGGGTTGCTCGTGACCTTCGCAAGACTCCCGGGTCATCTTGGTCCTTTCTTAGAGAGACAGAGCTATCACAGATCATCGGGCATCAACTAAAAGAAAAAAAAATATAAAAATAGCAGCTCTTCACTTCAATATTAAAAGAATTGGGATTTTTGAGTGGCTGATAGGAAATCACAAATGGCTACAGGCAAGGAAAAGGTTTTGGGTGAACCTGGTGGGAAAAAAATGAGGGCTAAGGCAAGGAGAGATGGACGGAGGGGCAAGAAATTCAAGGTAATGGAGAAGATAAGGAAAAGAAGGGGCCATAACTAATTTTCAAGGAAAGAAGCAGCACAATGGATTTAACCTCTGTGAGATTAGCATTAGGTCATTCCATAAGATGAGAGTGATTATTGGTTTGAGAAGGTAACAGGTAATTTGATTTTGACTTAACCCATCCCCATTCCCACAAACTTTTCTTCCTTCCAAATCACTGCACATGTAGTTTCATCAAAATCTATTTGTCCCTTCCAAAGAACCTGAATGAGCCCACTTAAAGCACTGTGCTCTGTGGGAGATTTCTGAGTTCTTTAGCACAGCTCTGTCCTTTATGTTCAGAGGGCTGGGATTACAAACTAACTATCCACTGGCATTTAAGGGCAATGCTGAGTGGTGTCCCCTCTCATGGTCACATGTCTGTCTCTGCATGTTATTGTGTGTGTGTGTGTGTGTGTGTGTGTGTGTGTGTGTGTGTTTGGAGTTGGATCATGCCCAGGGCACTCCCTAGGAGAAAAGAGAACTCTTTGGGGTGCAGCCTTCTCCTAAATGAGTACAATGGGACTGCTGAATTAGTAGTTCTTTAGGGTCCTTCCACCTCTGGAAATCTGTCCCCTCCCATCAGCCTGCCCCCTCTGTAATTAACAGCATGCGTGTGTAAGTCAGCTGGCCACAGGGGGGGTGGAAAAAAGAGTACAGTTTGTGCTTGTGGCCACGACACAGAACAAAGCTAAATAGGCCACATGCAGATAGAACTTCTGACCTTGGCCTCATTGGCACCCTGCAGAGGCCACCCCGAGCGCAAAGGTGAATGATCACACGGCGAGAGAGGACGCCAGGGCACAGGACACATCACAGTTCTCTGTCAGCAAGCAGGTGCTACACATATGCTCCAACCTAAATTCACCAAGACACTTGTTTTTCATGGACACACTTGCCACTGGCTCTGTGCTGTAGAATAGAAAGACAGATCTGATCTGCTGCACGTTACTGCCTAGGTGGTATTATTTCAATTCCGCATCTTCTCCCTCTCTCTGGAGAGGTGCAAGCGAATGCCATTTTAAAAGGTTCCCTGTCTCCCCCCTTCCCATATTTAAAAAAAAAATTTTGTATTCTCATATTTACAGTTATAAGGTTCCCCAAGATAGTGAAAGGAAACAAAATATTAGCAAACTTTATATATATATATATATATATATATATATATATATTTTTTTTTTTTTTTTTTTTAAATCAGTACCCAGGATCAAACTCATGACCATATGCTTGCAAGGCTTATGCCGCTGAGCTAAATCCCCAGCTCCGCAAATTTATTATATTAGCCAGAACTTTTTCCTTTTTAAAATTTGCTTAAAACATGAACTGAAAATTAAGAGATATGTACCCAATTAAAAACACGCAGAAAAAGCTCACTCTTCTGCAATTGGACAAATGCAAATTAGGCCAAAATGCCATTATTCACATACCAGATTACTGAAGCCTTTAAAAAGTAGTGTTCCTTGTTGGTGAGGTCATGGTAATCTACCAGGACTCTGGTATCTGTGGATGTATGAATGTGTATACAAATGGGTCTTTCCTTTCTTAAAGTGGTTAGGTAATATGCAATAACATCTTTAAATATCTGAACTCCTAAAAAGTAATAATCTCATTTCTCAGGATTCATCTTAACCAAACAATCAGAGCTATATACACATGTAAGGATATTTATCCAAATTTTATTTTTAGAACATTGTTCTAAAAACATTGTTATTGAACAATGTTCAATAACATTTTTATAGAACGAACTAAATTTCTATTTAATGAATGGCTAAGAAGATTCTGCTATAGTACGTCCACTATAATACATACATACACGACTAATATTGTGCTTCCGAGTATTTAGTGGCACAAGGAAATGTTCATGCAATCGTGTAAAGCAATAAGGACAGGCTACTATAACTATATTACATATAACTACAGTAATATTATGTACATCTACACATAGGAGAGGAAAAACACAAAAAAGGAGCAAACCAAAATATAACAGTGTTACTAAACTCTACTTAAAGTCATTATTTATACTTTTAAGTGTACAGTATTTTATGATGTCACAAAATGTATTAAATTAAGCCACATGAAACTATAATTGTGTAGGTCAAAATTGGCATTTTCATACACTGAGCATACTTAGCCTTAATTTCATATACTCAGTATTAGCTTAAGTATCTATAACCTACATACATCACAATTAATAGCAGTTTAAGATCTATTAATATAACAGAATTTTATCAATTATCAATAATTTTGTCAATTATGTCATTAATCAACACTCATAAACATATATTAAGTTATAACTAAGTTTTATTAATGTAATTTAATAACAATGTTGCAAATGTTAGCAAATAATACAGTCTATAATATACTTAGCTATGCCCTCATCAACCACAAACATTGTTTTTTAAAAGCTTCAATAATACGTGAATGAGTCTTAGTTGCTTTCTTTTATTATTTTTAATTTATGTTCTAGGCAAAAAATAAATAAAACCTTTGAAAATGAAGAGTTGCTTCGGTCAGGTTAGTAAAATGTGTCTTTGAAAGCATCACATATTTGGAATAACCATCAAAGAGAAAATGGCAAAGAGAACAAACGGCCTGAGACTGCCCCAGCGCACATGTGCCGTGGAGACGGTCTCGCTTCCGGTGAGCCTGACACCCCACATCCTCCGAGGAAACCCACTCAAGACTGCCGTCTGGACTCTGGAAGTCTCGAGAAGACACTTACTCCCCTTAAAAATCTCCCAGTTTTCAGTTGTACTCTCTGACATTCCATACTTAATATGTAATTGGTCCCTCAAATTGTTGGCAGCTCAGTGTAAATATTTCTTCAACTGACAAGTTTTAGGTCTAATGTTATGATTAACATATAACAAAGCACTTTATTTAAACAAGAGGTAAATAGCCAAGACATGAAACACACCAGGATGGGTCATGTTGCTAACTGATATGGGGATTTTAATGCTTTCTGCAGCTTGTTTTTTAATGGTAAAACTGTGTATTTTATTATGAACAATTGTGTGCCACTTCCCTTTCCAGCCTTTATTATTCAATTAACACCACGTGGTTTCACACCAAGTTCTGGGACAAGTCCCCACCCAGTGCTGCTACCATTCCACGCGTGCAGTGTGATGACCAGCTCTGCCAGGGCCCTCAACTTGCAGGACCCGGTATGACAGAAGCAGCATCTTTACCGCAGGAAGCAATCATTTTAGAAAGGCAAGCATCACGGAAGGTAAACAAAAAGATGGGAAATTTTGGGTCTAAAATTTGGGTCAGAAAGATCTTGAACCATTAAATTTGCCAGGTTAGGTTAGTGCTGAGGCAGGGGTTCAAAGAGAAAGAAGGGGGGATAAGTACCAAATATTAAACAGCATGCACTTCATTTTAAGTATTATCTCTGACTGTTCTAGTCTTTCCACACTAGCCTGAGAACACACACACACACACACCCTCCTCCTTGTTTTTCTCTCACCTCTATATTCTGTGTCACACAATTAGTGCTTTGGTTATTTCCCTCCACTTTTATAAGACCCTAAATACCTCATTAACATTTCCAAAAGGTTATAAGTCATTAAAAAAGGCCTCAAATTGGGTAAGATTTTTTTAAATCCTCTGGAATTTGAGGCCACTTACAAAAATAACTAAAACTTTTAACAGGTTAGAAACTTATTCTGTTATCATCATATATATCAAGTCCTCCAGATTTCTGAAATACTTTGTTAAACTGCTAACATACTAATTTTGTTCACTGTTTCAAAATAGCTTTAGACTGAAAGAGCTAAGATTTCATGAAGACGCTGCAGTTCCTATTAATGTAATTTTCCCACTGTCCTTTATTTTCTAATTATAACAATCATATAAAATTATTTCAAAAGTAAACATTGCCAAATTCAGTACTTAAGAGAAACAGAAAAAGCTCCTAATAACCTCACTAGGCCAAGAGATAACCAGCAGCAACAGTTGGTTTTCATGTCTCCAACTATTCTTTATATATAGTTACTTTCACTCTTTCTTTCCCTTTGAAATCTACCTTGGTGCCTGTTCATAAAGGCATCTAAATTCTTTCACTTACATACCGAAGAAACCTGCGTTAGGAGGTTTGCCATAGAGAGCTAACTAATAAGCAGAGAATTTAAAGGTAGTTAGTGGTCTGATAATGAGTCTGTCAGCCAGGCCAGGCTGCTCCTAATCAATGACCTACATACAGAAAGTTGCTGAAAAATACATTTAATTATAGAAAGTCATAAAGAAATTTTAAACAACGTTTCCCAAATTCAAACCGAGATGGTTGATGTTTTATTCTGGCGAGTTACCATATTTTACCTCCCTACTTAGTGTTTAAGGGGACATAGAAAATACTGACAGAGTGACCTGCCCTTCCCTGGGCTTCTGGCTTGAGCAAGTGACTGTCCCTCTGCATTCCACAGCCAGCAGACCCCACTGAAAAGCCCAGTAACAAGGTTTCCAAGAGGCAGATAACCCTTCCCATCCAAAAGGTGAAAAACATCTGCTGAGAACCAGGAGAGAATGTAGCCAGGGGCCAGGCTTAGAGGAACTGAGAGATAGTCATTGCTTATCAAAACAAAATCCAAGACAGGACAATTGTTTCAATCCAGCGCTCTGTGTTCTAAACTCCCAGATTAATTACTGTGGAGTCTCCAGCCAAGCTCATTAAGAGGGAAACTCTGGCCTCCTACCATGATTGGTGTTTACTGTTCTTCCCGACCAGAAGGCTTTCCCAGCAAGGACAAGGAGGACTGGGGAAGCCACCAGCTCCTGGGCTTTCTTTACTGAAGATAAAGAAAGGATTGATCTTTAAATTGCATTTTAAGAACTACTCTCAAGAATCATTTCATATTTGTCTTTGAGTGAAAAAGTGGACACTATTTTCCTTATCTACCTTTGGAACACCAGCTATGTTTTGCAACTGCTGAACAACACACTACAAGCCTCTGGAATCTGTGGTCTCTCAGATGAAGTATTTATCAGACAACTCTGATGAGCATGGCAAGCCCTCCACAGCACGTGGGCACTCAGGCATTCTTATTCCGAGGGCGTGGAAAGACACACACCTCCCAACAGGCTTCCGGCATCCACCCTGTCTCCTCAAATCTCCAGGGCCTAACCTTCCACTCTTCGCAGCAAAGGCTAAAATTTTTCAGGAGGAAGGCCTAATAGATTAAAAGCCTTTCTCCCACAAATATTTGCTAGCTCAAGGCAGCCCAAGGGAAAGTTTGAAGCCTGCTGCTGCCCAGAGCAATGGGGAGACATTCAGGAAGCACAATCAGCTGATGACTAGGAATCAGACACCCAGTCCCAAAGTGAATGATTAAATCCAAACCCACACAAACTAATGGAAAACCAAAGGAATTTACCAAACTCCCACTTACACGGGAAAACCAACACGGCTACTATGAAACAGTCTTCGTACAATTTCCAAAAACCTTTGTGCATTTTTGCGTTGCTGCACGGGGTTATCTTGTCATTTTAAATTTTAAAACCACCTGACATAAGGAGTCATTTTCCTAAAGTTTTACCTGTTCAGCCCTTGTCTGCTCAGCCTACACTACTGGGCCTATTTTTATGTTATTTTGGCGAAACATTTCTGTCTGCCAAAATCCCTTCTCTTCCTCCCCTCCCAAAAATTCTCCCGTCTTCCAACCCTCATCCCAAATTCCTGGTATGTGTCTGCTTGTGAAGTCTGAAAAGCCCAAAAGCCAGAGAAGGAAAAAGCAAGAGCTGTGGGAAACATCCCATCAAACTGTCACGCGCGAGAAAAGCTTGGGAGCACGGGGTCCACCCAGCCCCACATCTCGGAAAGTCAAAGCCAGGCGCCCCCGACCGGCGAGGGTGCGGGTCCTGGGACGTCCTGGGACAAGCGAGAGGGGCGTTTCCGAGTACCCCGCTCCCCGGGAGCCAGGTCTGGGGCGCGGCCAGGTGGCCCTGGGGTGAAGTCTCCCTTGGAATTTTTTTTCCGCTAGTGAAATCGCGGCTTTTCAAAACCCAATTAGAAGCCAGTAGCGGCAGCAGAGCCGCGCTGTCAGCCGGGGTGCTGCACCCCGCTCAAACCAGGGCGCCTGGCACACCAGGCTGGGGGCTCGAGACCATACGGGGCGGCGGGACCTGCGCCGAGCTGCGCCACCCTGGGAGCGGGGGTCCCCCGCGAGCGCCCCAGGCTGCGGGCGCGAGCGGCCCCATCCCGCCTGCGGCTCCCGGACCGGGCTCGGAGCCGGTTGCCGGTTCCGAAGAGCCGCCAGGCACCCCCGCCCGGCCGCCCGTGCCCACCGCGGGCCTCGGCGCAGCCCTGGCCGGAGCGGGACCCCGCGGCCTCGCAGGCGCCCGGCTGCGGACCCCGAGGGGGACCCCACGGGAGCCGCGACCCAAGGGCAAGTTGGGGCGGGCGCGTGGGCTGCGGGCGAGGCTGCGGGGTCCGGCGGGAGTGGGCAGAGGGACGGTGGGGTAGGAGGCGCGGGACACGCCGGGACTTACCGAGCGGCTCCCTCATGCTGCCCCACGCCGTGCCGCCGTAGCCCGGCCAGCCCAGGACCAGCGCGACCCGCCCCGCCTCAGCCGCCGCGGCCGAGCATGCCCGGAGCGCCGTCGGCTCGCCCCGCCCACCGCCCCGCCCACAACCGGATCTCCCCACCCACATAGGCTCAGCCCGCCCATCCCGCCTCGCCCCGCCCATCTCCGGCTCGCCCCGCCTCCGCCAGGATCGCCCCACCCACCTCCCCGCCTCCCTCACGCTTATGAAGGGCAGAGGGTCTCCTGCCACTGAGAAGAAGAACCAGGCCCTGGAGCCTCCCAGGCCTTCTGAGTGATAGTCTAGAGAAGCACAGGCGGGCTAGCCACCCTGTCCTCTTCCTGTCACTTGTGTTTGAGCCATCTGCGTCTTGTGTGAACGTCCAGAGATGCACGGACACTTAGGAACACAGATGCACAAACACTGGTTGCAGGGACATGCTCACGCTCCCATAGACAGACACAGCATCGTGTGCACTCACAAATACACTCAGCGACCGTGGGAAGAGCAGAAACAAACCACTGGGAGTTGGATAAGAGCTCAGCCTGCCCGTGTTCCTCCTGCTATGGAGGGCAGAGAAGAGGGAATCTGTCAGCTAAGCGAAAAGTCTAGAGTCCAGGGCTTGCTGCCTCCATCCACCAGACCAGCACCGTTTAGCCCTGCAGTGCTTACCAGTGTAAGACCAATGAATGCTTTTTAAAATCTATGGAGCAAAATCTAAACATGACAGAATCCAGTGACGCTAACAAAGCCCCATGCTGGAAAGGAGAGTGACGTAGCAGTTGCTGTGTCAAGCACTATCAGAGGACTTCAAAGGCCCAGGTGAGAGAGATGGCGCAGGAAGCAGAGGGGGCTCAGGCAGCACACAGCTGGGGTCCCCGCTTCGGCTGCTTTCACCACTTTCCAGATGTGTGACTCCTGTTGGCCTCAGTTTTCTCTTCTGCAAAATGAGGATAAGAACAAGGCTGGGCCCTGAAAGAGTCCTGAGAGCTGATGGAAATGATGCCTCCTTAGCCCTTGGTGTAGCTCAGACTCCTGGTTAAGACTGCCTGCAATGTAGCTGCGCCTGTGAATCAGAACCGCCAGTGCTGTCTGTGCTGGCCCTACCAGGGAGAACTGGGGACCTTGCTAAAGGAACAGTGGGTGCGGCCAGTCTGGACTCGAACATTATCTCCAGGCAGGGGAAAGATTTTTGAAAGTAAAATGAAACACAGACTTTTGTGGGAAGTTAGTTATTAATGACTTCTTGTGATAAAAGCATCTTTCAAGGATGGGTCACTCCAGTGGCATGCAGTTCCTGGCTCTCCTCGGTTTGCCAGTGCTGTGAAATAACTTTGGGGCTGTGGGCCGCCTATATGCACCCTTTCTAAAAACATAAAAGTACTTACATACACGGCTATGTGTGTACATATGTAAAATACAGAGGCTGCACATATATATCTATCTGCTTATTTACATTTCAGACACATCTGGAGCCAGATGTTCCTGCAAGCAGATTTATCAGCTTGTGAATTAAGACTAGGCCTTGTTTCCCCATAGAACAATGTCATGCTCTTGGTTTCTGGGTCAGTCCCACACGTTTTATAATGCAGCTAAAATGCTGTAGAGTTGCAGAAGAAAACATTGATGTAATATTAGGAAAGAAGCTTAACCAAACAAATTCTGTTCTAGCAGAAAGGTTGACAAGACAGACTTAATTAGGGGAAAGTAATGAATTGAAACATTGGAGTCAAAAGAAGGTGACTGCATAATTGTAAGGGTTTCTTGACCCAGCTCTTTATCACCGTGACCTTGTTTCAGAACATTCAGCTTCTCTCTTTGCTCAGCACTTATGTACACCACTCCTACTCTATTGCCTTCCAGCCATGAAAGCCTTAAGAACATGAATGAAGACACGGAGACAGAAGATAGTGATGGTCATGGAAGTCAGGGGAGAGGTGAAGGGTTTTCTGAAGATCTGGATTAGAATTATGATGAGAAAGGAGGGTGAGGTTGAAAAGCTGCCTGAGGATGAGTGGGTGATTATTTAAGTTATAAATGTATGAAGACAAATGAAATTGAAAGGTAGTGAGAAAATCCACTGGCAGTTTCCACACTGGCACCAGGGTGTAGACTTGGGGTGGCAACAGCAGATGTGGAAAGAGGCATCTATACATGCCTATCTGTGCACACACGCAAACTATGTGTTTCATATATATATATATATACACCTGTGTTTATGGTTAAATTTTTAGGAAATAGAACATTTCTTCATAAGTCAGGTCACTGTAGCTCAGAAAACAGCTGTGTATGTTTTCTTTTGACCACAAGAGGCTTCCAGTTTTCTTCTGCTAACCTCCTCCTCTCCAAATCACCACCCACATTCCCGCAACTCCAGCCCCTCATTCTGCCTGTTTGGTGTTGGGAGGTTTGAACCCGAGAAGAAAATGCCTATCATTATAATAATATGAAGTATAAAATACATTTGGAAGCAACTTTTAGCACAGTAGTCTTGGAAATCTAGCACAGCAGATGCCCAGTGTCCCCCCGCCTTCCTGAGTCCTGGGAAGGGATTTCACAGATTCAGGAAAGAACGTGGATTATTGAGTCATCAGGGCAGATGTTGAGTGAGCACAGGAAAAATGATCCTGCTTAAGGAAAAAATTAAAAAGAAACAATGTACTGCTTTTTCAAAGGACTAGAACAAGCCTCTGCTCTTTTTCTTCTAGAGTCCTGCTCTGATGCCAATAAAGTTTCTTTTAGCTGATTTAAACATTCTCTGATATTTTTCCCTTAGTTCGTAAAAACAATGCTAGTTCTTATATTTAAGAAAAAGATTAATGTTCTTGAAAGCACCTTGAGATCCCTCTTGTTGACTTTTTCTAGAAAGAAAACAATAATAGCTATAAAAACCTAGAAAGGATTAACAAGTGCTAATAAAATTTGCTTTTGGATATTTCAGTGCTTTATATTAATTTAGTGACCATACTGTGTAATTGGTTTCAACCGTGATTAAAAACCTTTCCCAAAATATATTGTATGAGCCAACTATTTCAGAATCAATGAGGGGATTTGACTATTAGATTCTTGGGCCTCTTCATCAATAGATTTGATCAGAATTTCCAGTTCTGTGGGTGAGATTCCAAAAGTAACTGTCTAGATGATTCCTACACACAGTAAAACTTGAAAAGCAAGGATTCAGCATGAGATATGGAGATAATGGGGCAGCAGTATAACAAAAGGGGTGTACACAATACACACCCCAAACATAGTAGTCACTGATACCATTGTGGGGTACTAAGGACTGACAGCAGAGTCCTCTATGAGTCAAGTGAACCAGATGCTCAGTAACTACGGACTGGGGGGACTGAAAATTTACAATCTTGGGATCAAATAAAAAAGATGAAACATTTGTCAATCATATATCTTCAGATTAAGGAGCTGAAATCTGCATGGTTATTGCATGAGAAAAATCATTTTTAATCATCAGGCTGTATGATTTTGGTGTTAGTATTTCCTCATGTAAGGCTATACATTGATGGGAAACAACTTTTGTCTCCCTCGCAGGCCCCATTGCCTCTGATCCTCACCAAAGATCTACTGGTGGGAAGGATAGCCCAAACAGCCCCATCCTGCAGGCTGCAACTCTGCTAGAGTCATAAGGAAAACCCTTGAGTGGTGATGCTTCTTGGGAATGGCGGTGGCTGGCTGAAATCCCATCCTTGCAGACAGAGATACAGCCCATACCAGAAGGATCCAGACCTCAATACCCCTGTGCCACCTCTTCACACATTACAAGAATCAGCCAAAAGAAATCCAGGTGATCTCTTAACCCTGTGTGTTTTATTTTTTAACAGAAAATAAATGAACAACAGAACAGGGAATATGGCTCAGTGATAGAGCACTTGCCCAGCATGTGAGGCCCTGTTTCCATCCCCAGCACTAAAAGAACAAACTCTACCAAAACAAAACAAACAATACCACAAAAGTGAACACCATGAACCAAGTTGGTTATCAATATTAATTGCAAAAAGAATGCTTCCATTTGAAAAAAGGGTGGTGGAACCAGCCTACATTAACTCCGCAGTGGCTGACAACACAAAGTTATCATGAAGGAAGGAGGCAGTGGTGAGAACTGCCCTTTATTTATCTTCTGTTATGGGCCAGATGGTCAGCTTGACCTTGGTTTGTGTCCTTCCATGAGCACATGGGTAGAATTTAGCCACAGGGCTATATGATTTGAAGCAGTTATTCTAGTTAGGTATTGAAGAAAATATTAAATCTCCCATTCAAGAAAATGTTCCATCTCATTACTTGTCTGCCTCTCTAAAATTTCCATCACCTTTGTTAAGCTGTTTGTCAGTCTTCTGTCACTGTGACAAAACACCTGAGGTAGTCAGCAAGAAGTCTCTTGTTTTGGCTTATATTTTTAGAGGTTCTGTCTGGGGCAGGTTAGCTCTGTTGCTTCTGCGAGGCAGAAGGTCATGGGACACTAAAGATGCTCACTTTATGGCAGCCGGGAACCCACCCCCAAAGACAGACCAGAGTCCACGCCCCCAGTGACTTAACTTTCCCCCACAAAGCCCCACCTCCTAAAGGTTCTACCACTCGCCTCTGCCTGAGTCTTTAACAAGAGAGCCTTGGGGGCATTTAAAATCTGAACTATAACAAGCTGTTAATTGCTTTATCAGTATACAGTTTGGGTTTGGCTACTAGATTCTGAATGCTGGTGGAAGGGGTTGCTTGTCCATGTCCTAAATGTGTTTGCTTAGGTTCTGTATTTGTGTATGGGACATTCATTAATCACAGGCTCAGACTAACAGCCAAAGTACTCAGAGCCCAAACTAAGCTATCTTTTTTTCTAACTCTCACAAAAGAGGCCAATAGTTCTCCTACATCAAGTCAACCCAACACTAGAGCATATTCAAGGCCCTGGATTCAGTCTCCAGCAACAAGAAACAAATGCAGAAACCTCCTCTCTTAAGATCTAGGCACCCGCCAGTCCCACTGTTTACACAACGTAGGACCACGCATTTGGACAGGAAGATGAAAGAGCTACCCATTGAACTGGGGAGCTGAATGCCTCTGAAGTAAAATTGGTCACCTAAATACACTGTGTGGCTGAGGTATAAATTCTCACTATAGGATTGGGATCCAAGGAGTTAGCTGAGGGCCAAAGAAGGTGGATGGATGGATGGATGGATGGATGGATAGATAGGTCAACACTTTTAAAAAAATGTCTAGATTTTTTGAATTCCTTGTCTTGGTGTGTCTGAGATCTGCTTTTGCTTTGTCCAGGTTCTACCTTAAGCACAGCTTACTGTCCTGGCCTTTTCTGTATCTGGGTGATATGCAGATCAAGCATGCTATTTACACATTCTGTTTAATCCAGCAAAAATCAATCCTTCTAAAAGCAAATGACATGCAAACAAGAGAGACCAAACAGAATGATTACTTGTTTGTGGAAAGGCAAATACCAGATATGAAATATGACCAAGCAAAGATAATAAATCAAATGAAAGGCAGCTTTCATCAGCAATAGTGGAAAAATAACAGTGACAGTGCAAACCCATTGTCTTATGGAGCAGAAATAGTGTCTCTAAGCTCCGGGTAACAATGTAACAGCAGCAATGTTTCCTTGGCTGTATCATCCACACATGCTCCCTTGACAATTCAGTGCATTTTTCCCAATCATCACTGATAAGGTCCTGCAGGGCGCTCCATTTCTACAGCCTGCATCTGTGTGTGGACACCCTCATGCAAGCAGGCACTGAACGCAGGTTTCAGGTCGGCAGGGAATTGCATGTGCTTTTTAGTTTCCTCAAGTAAATGGATAGACAAGACTCCATCTACACAGTCTCCCCTATAGGTCTTGATGCCTGGAATGTGAATTAGAACTTTTAACTGAAACCACTAAATATCTGGCGATTACCGTAACTAAGCAGTCACAGATGTTGTATTAAATCCACCCTACTCTTTTTCCCTCTCTGTACAGCATACACCAGGGTCATAACATGATATATTCTTAGAACAGATGCCATTCGTAAACAGAATGCACATCTTTTTTTAGGGAACACGGTTTTATTGTGCCCAAGGGCCATCTGTTTGTTCTGTCACCTGTTTGTCAGGAGACACCTCTAAATATGGAGTTGTGATGGATTTCATATTTTCCAAGGTTGATAAAAACATAGAACACTTCTCAGTTACTAATTCTTTGCCACTACCTCACAATGCATTGTTCCAATATTATTATTTTTATAGCTCCCATCTTTCCTAATGAGCTGTGGGAAGGCTGGAAGATGTCCAGTGTTGTAGTCAGGGGTTGTGAGGAGAACAATTATAATCACAGGACACAGAATTTATATTATTTATGGTGGTCACCCAGAGTAAAACACAGGAAGTACAAGGAACCGTCCACAACACTAAAGACCCAGAATATTCAGCCAAGGGCCTGAATCCCCCAGCAATGTCCTGCATGAGTCCAGATGAAGACACAGACCTCATGACAATGCTTCCCACGAGTCTAACTGGAGGTCTAGAGGCCCGGAGAAAGAAGACTCACACCAGTCTGTTTTATGGATCCACTCTGGGAAGGCCCAAAGGTCAGCGGTGGACGCTAGAAAGTCTGTGCTACCAGGGTGAAGGAGCTGTGCTGGTAGGTTGAGGGTTCTACACTGGAGTTGAGAAGTCATGTTCATAATAAAGACAAGGGCTGCCCTGAAAACCACCACAGCCATCCTCAGCGCCACGGCGACCCCAAACTCCTCCAACAATAAGAACAGTCGAGTACATGCCAGAAAGCCAGCATGACGAGTTTGTCCTGGAAATTAAACGGCACATGTCTTTCCCTCCAGGGCCAGGAAGCGATGCTCAATGTAAGAACCAGAGCTCCCCCAAAGTGAACCACAGCCACCCTCACCAACAAGGTCCCGAGGTCCTCTGATGACAATGATGGACCTCACACTGGGGAAGCTAGTCATGATAAGCTCCTCCAGGAGAATCAACGGCTCAAATAGCAACACACAGGAGAAACCCATAACACCTCCTTCTCCTTCTCCATGTATCTATTTATGCTGGCAACTTTCCTCAGGTGGAGCATCTATGCTTAGCACCACACTGATTCAACTCAGCTGGTGTTAAGGTGACCACCAGTTTTTAATCCATAACACCCAGCAGTGAGTCACACTGACAGCTGTGGGGACACAGTCATCCAGTGCTGAAGTAACTGCAGGATGATAAATGTGACAGCCATTTGCTGAGATCTAAGTTTAAAGTTTTTAATTTATTTATTTTGGCAGCACCGGGAACTGAACTCAGGGCCTTTGCACATGATATGCAAAAAATTCCAGCCCCTCTGTTTTAAGGTCTTACTCATTATGCTTAAGGAAGTGTATTTAAGAGCCAAAAAGACAGTCAAGATTTCATGTAGATTTGAAACACTTATGTAAACTTAATAAAAGGACTCCCACAGATGCCAGGACGTCATTGCTTTGTGAAACAGAATGCTCTGTCCTTTCTCATGAAACGTGGGTGACCTAAAGCGCTATCTTGGTGTTTAAATTAAAGGCTATGAAATACCCTTAGCTGACAGTCCATATGCACTGCTGCTCAGTCGTGTGTTTATTTAACACCCTCATTTTCCAGTTTCTATGATTTGCTTTGTGTTCCCTGCTGTATTTGACACGATTCCTAGTGGTATATCAGTTCAAGTGTGTGCCTTCCTACAGCACACCTGGATGTATGAGGATCTCTCTTGTCACACCAGATCGTAGGTTTCCTAATGGCAGGAGGCCTGGTGACGCCTGCCATTCACGAGATAAACCACAAAGACTGGAAATGACATTCTCTGAATCTATTAAATCATGAATCACTAATTTTATGAACTATTTTTGGAGAAAAAAAAGCAATGCTTAGATGCTATTGGCCAGAAACCTAGGGTGGAACCCAGACATCTGCAGTTTTAAACAGATTCTGTGATTCCACTGGGTACCGAAGTTTGAGAGCCAAGGCTCACGATCAATCCGGATAAGAAGACTCTAGCAGAGGCTCTGAGTGACATGTGACTCACTCTGTAAACCTTATTAACCAGAAAGCACTTAGTGCCTGTTTGGAAAGCTAACTGTGTTCACAACTATCCAACCGCCCTGCTTGTCAGAAGGTGACAGTACCTTGAGGGAGAAGCGTACAGGCCTTGGAATCAGACAGACCTGGGCTGGATCTCAGTGCTGCCCAAGCGAGACTGATTGTCTTGCTTTAGGCAAATCGATTCACTTCTCTGAGCCTGTTTCTGATATGAAGACAAACCAGAGTCTGGCGATGGTGATGGAGTGAGATACTTTGTGAAGCAGTCAGTACTGAGTCTCTGCTTGTGCTGCAGCCTTTTTGAAGACCAGAAGTGAATGGATGGGAGTATGGAGAGCACCTGGCCCATCCCAGCCTTCTGCAAATGAGAGGTGGCTCCCATCTCCCGGGTCCCCGCATTGGCTGAGAACCATGGGAGGAAACTCCTTCAGTTAACTACATGAACTATACTCGTTTGCTTGTTACAGGGAAACTCACAGAGAGATAACACAATTAGCAGATTTTTGGAAGAGCCTTTCCGCTTAGCCTTTTCACTGCACAGTAAACCTGAGGTTCCCTTCCTTCCTCCTCTTTCTTTCTTTCTTTCTTTCTTTCTTTCTTTCTTTCTTTCTTTCTTCCTCTCTTCCTTTCTTCCTTTCTTCTTTCTTTTCTCCCAGGAGAATAGTTGTGCAAAGAATATGTGCCTTTCCAAGTTAAGGTAAATAAGTAGAACCTTGTACAGCTATTGTAGTACCATAAAGTATTTAGTCAATAGAAGCTACCTTCATTCTGCCACAGAACCCGGAGAGAACAAGATTTAAGGGAAGACTTTAACAATAGGATTCTTAGTTAATGTGAAATGCAGTCTTAGCGTTTAATCTGAGCACATGGCTCTGTGTGTGTGTGTGTGTGTGTGTGTGTGTGTGTGTGTCGCTTGCATGCAAAGAAGGAAATTAAAACCAACTTTTGGAGTTTAGAAAAGTAGTTTACACCCAGAAATGGGGTAAATAAGTGCATTGGAAATATTCACAAAAAATATTGTGGTCAGAAGAATCATCTGATACTCCGCGAGTATGTTCTGAGGCACACAGGAGGATGTTAACATCGTACAGCTCTTTGTTGGATATTGATCCACACTGTAGCTGTGGCTAGGACAGTACATTATTGCCATTCTTCTTTTGCTTCCAATTTTCTTCTTCTTCTTTTTTTTTTTTTTTTTTTTTTTTTTTTTTTTGCGGTCCTTGGGATTGAACTCATGACCTTGCACTTGCAAGGCAGGTGCTTATGCCACTGAGCTAAATCCCCACCCCTTTTGCTTCCAAATTTAATGGGAGAATTCCAAACAGGGGCAACTGGCCAGGCGGAAAGTAATGTGACCATGTTACACACTCATCGAAAGTCATAGCAATTTGAGGTTCAAGAATCTTGAACAACAACAACAGAAAAAGAATCTTGAACCAGAATCTCTAGCCGGATCAGCCGAAAGAGCCAAGCTGTCCATTGGGCTTCCATATGCTCTCAGCTCCACACACATAGTATCAGTGGCCGTGCAGAGGGGGATGGCTGGTCAACAAAATTCTGTATCCATCCCAGTAGACAATGGCAGTGATTTTCAGGGAAAGGCGACCGAACTGGCAGCTGTGCTGGCCTCCAGCTGCCATTGATGCCCACGTGGAAGAAGAACCCAGAGAAGATGTAGGCGTTATTACACAGTGTGATAGTGAGGAGGCTGCCAGTGGAGGAGGTCATGTAGTGTTCATTGCCTATCACGCCCCCCCTTCCCTTTACATGAAATCCCACGTGTGGTTACTTATGCATGGAGGCTTCTTGTTTTTTCTTTGTCTTCATTTGTTTTTTGAATCAAGGTCTTGCTCTGCAGTTCAGGCTGGCCTTGAACTCACTATGTAGCCCAGACTTGCCTCAAACTCATAGGGATTCTCTTTTCTCAGTTTCCCAAGTGCTGAGATTGCAGGCATGCACCACCATACCCAACTAGACCAGATTTTAAAGGCCTCATTTTATTAAATTTTGACTGCGCAAACCAGAAATCTATGCAGATTTCTAGGAAGCATCTCACTTGTCCATGTTCTTGCCCAGGCTGGCCTCCGACCCTCCTGATCGTCAGCTTCCTGAGCACAGGAATTATAGACACGAGCTGCCATACTCAACTCTCACCATTCTCTCTGGAGGGAGTGAGCATGCTTTGATTGTGAGGATACGAAGCAATCACAGATGTCCCAGGAGGTAGGGAGGAAGCCTGTGGTAGACAAGCTCATAACAGACTGCTTACATGCTGCTTTCAATATGGTTTTAGCAGCAACCTGCTGTTTGTCACTAATCTGTGGTCTGACCACACTTGACACACTTGACACAATTTGATAGAATGGCCTAATTGATTTAATATTTGGGTCAGTACTAATGAATCTGGATGCTTGTCCTTTAAGAGGTGGGCAAAGGTTAGCTAAGGAGACAGAGCTCACAGTTTATGCCACTGGTTAGTTATGGACCCAAAGCTGCACCCTTAACCTGCCCCAAGAACCAACATTCATTCTGGATAAAAATACCCATGGGAAGTGCAGCCGGTGTCGCATGAGGAATGCCCGTCACCATGTGCAGATGCCGACCACATAAGCAGATGCCGACCTGTCAGGATTGTGCTGTCAGATGACAGAGCAGCATTGCAGGAGGGGTGTGTATTGGAGCCGAGGATGGTTTGTATCTGTTCTGCTAATATCTGTGAAAGGGCGAATAAGTCCCTCGGAATTATTCAGGCACAGGTGCTTTGTGTCTACAGTGCCTTCTGCAGCTGCCACCCTTGTATCTTCATCATATTACAGCGCTTTCCTACAAGCACTGTCACTTGCTCCAAATCAAAGAGCTCCAGAGAACACCTGGAGTTAACCTGCCGCTTCCAGGGGCATGCTTGTTTTCACTTCCAGTTTATTAATGTGGCTCAAATGGGGCCCTTCCGAGCATCTGGTACCTGTGCTGGTTTAGATCACGTGTCCCTCAAGGGCCCATTAGTTAAAGGTCTGGATTTGGTGGGAACATTGGGGTGGGGCCTAGTGGGAGTCCTGAAGTCATGGGCATGCATCTAAGTTTGAGTAGTGAGATCTCAGCCCTTTCCTCTTCTTCCCTTCCCCTCCCTGGTCTGTGATGTGAGTAGTTTTCTCTGCCACATATTACTATTGTGCTATCTCAATACAGGCCCAAAGCAACAGGGCTGATTCATTATGGGCTACAACCTCTAAAGCCATGACCCAAAATAAACCTCTTCTTCTATTTTTATTTTTATATTTTTTAAGAGTAGAATATATTTATTAAGAGAAAGAAAGCTTCTGTTTGAGAGAGACAGAAGTGGTCCTGAGTGGGTTGACAAAGACTCTTGTCTTTTCTAGGGATTTTTATAGAGTAAAATCATGAGATGAGATGGGTTCAAGGTGGCGAAAACTGGAAACTCACAAGGTAGATGGGCTTGAGGTGGGACAAAAGTATGGTCAACCAATAAGATTAATCATTCAAGTAAATTTGAACAAATCAGGGACAAATGAGGAAGCCAATCACATAGTAAACAGCCATTCTTACGGAGCGGTGACCCCCTGGAGGGGGTTGGGATGGTGGCTCCTGGCTTCCTCAAAGCGATCCATACCTATTTAGAGTATGGATCCCTGATGTTTATACTCAGGGTGTTGCTTGTATTTATTTTGCCTTTTGTCTTGAGATCTGGCCCACAGCAGGAGGTGTCTGTTTCCCCTGCAGTTACCAGGTATCTGAGCTTATGCACTGGCTCCTTTGAGGATCCACCCCTGTCTGACTGCCTGATAAGGCTTCTTCAGGCTGAAGGGGTTTGAAGTTGTTGGGCGGCAGTCAGGGTTACTCTGCAGAGCTTCTAACTAGTGGCCCTCAGTAGAGACTAGACATGGTCATCTTGGGTAGGTGTAGAGCTTTATGTCTCAAGGAGACAAAGCCAAAGAAACAATTCAGTACACATCAGCCAAATAACAGAATCGACAGGATAATTATGAGTACAGTTAACAAAGATTTTCACCAAGCAGAGCTGGTAATGGCTTCCCATAATGAGGATAAGGATAAGAGCCAGGAAATTTTAGAATCTGCCATGTCATTGATTTGTTATCTAATATCTTGAACAGTTAATTGAGATATTAGCAGAAGGATCAGGAATGTCCACACATTTAGTTTTCACAATTGCATAAATACCTCCTGTGTTGTTAGAATGTCTCCTGTCATCCAAGTTTGGAGGGCAGCCTGTCTTATTAATTTTATTTCTTTATTTAGGAGAGAGACCAGCTGCAGTGTCACTTAAGGCATCAACAGGTGTCACATAACCATCTCTCTGGACAAGATCTGGTGGATCCCAGTAAAAGAAATCTAAAGGAATCTAGCATATTTGTTATTTTATCTGTATGCCGCCTTGGGGTTTTGTACCTTTTAGGCAATAACAAACTTTAATCAAAGTATGTCTAATCAAAGTTTGTATACAAAAGCATTATAATCAAAGCATGAGCATTAGCGTTGACAGGTAAGTTTAGGAACTGTTTCTAAGTTACAGAAATTGTATCCTATTGGTTCTTAGGTCTTTTTATTGATGGAGTCTAACATTTTTTCATAAAGCCTTCTAACTTTAGTTAAAATCATCTCTAAATTTGATAACTTATGAGAACCATATTAATAATACATTGTTTTGGCAAATAAACTCAAGTTTTTATATATGAACAACAATATGTACTATATTTGTCAAAACCAGTCTGGGCATCATTTTGATTAGTGGGAACTTGGATATATATATTACAGCATTTAGACAGGATAAAATCTCTCCAGGATTGGAGTCAGGCTAAACCTCTTCTCTTTATAAGTTAATTATCTCAGGAGTTTTGCTATAGTGGTGGAGAGCCAACTAATATAGGGCTTATGCAGAAACCACACAGGGACGGTATTTCTTTCTAGAGTGAGAACAGCAGCATTTTTATGCCATCAACCTATTCACATTGTACAGATATTACTGACACAGAATGCACAACGAAAGCCAGCGTCAGATCTTAGCTCTCCAGGGTGGTGTGTCAAGCCAGGTATTGGAAAACCTTCCCTTTCCAGCATGGGTTGAGTGGGGCGCTAGCACGGCTAGTTGTCCCTTTCCTAATTCTGCAGTGACACTGCGAACGGAGGGAAATCTCTGTGTGGTCAGGACAGTGTAGGGACACGGGTAGCATGGCACAGATGATCGTTAGTGTCTGGTGAGAGGGGAGGGACAGGCAGCACTTTATCTCAACTTCACAGGAATCCAAGTCAGTACCTGTGCAAAGCCACCAGGCTTGTCAAGGGCAGAAGGAAACAGAAGACCATCACAGGCTGCGGGACCCAGCAGGGAAAGCTGGATGCATCGGCCTACGTTTTAAGCTTTATTGTTTTGAAAAGGTTCCCAGGGAGAGGAGAAGACATGCTCCGCAGCAGAACTTCCTTACTGGGGCGAGGTAGGGGGCACAAAAAAAATGGACACATGTCAGAGTGGGGTTGGAAAAATAGGTGAAGACATTTGGGATTCTGGAGCGTGTTACAGTGCTACTGCAAGATGGCCTGTGGTCCACAACCAGAGGACCAGAGCATCTAGATTTCCCTGCTGTAACATAGCAATGTATTTATAAACCTCAGGACGTAAGAGAGCTGGCATATTGACCTGAGCCTCCGAAACCCTTGGCAAAAGTTCAGCAAAGGCCAAGTATCTTTTCATTCTTTTCTTCCCCACCACCATCCTCCTCTTCCTTCCTTACCACTTTAATCATTTTGACCACGCATTTTCATGACACTAAATACATTTACTGTGTTTGCATCCTTCATCCGTGTCCATGTCTAGCACACTATCTTCGGCTCAAACGGAAGCTCTGCATTTATTTGTCAATAATTCCCAGGCTCATTTTCACTCAGCCCTGGAAAAATTCTATTTAATGTTCTGTTTATAAAGATATTTATTTGCAGTACCTCACACAAGTGAACCAGCACATTTCTCACTTTGTAACTAACTTATTTTCCCTAGGGTAATGCCCCCAAGGGTCATCCACTCTGTGACACGTGTCAGAATTTCCTTCCTTTTAAAGACTACTCTATCATCCTTTTTGTGTAGACTACCATCTTGCTCATCCATTTATCTATGAATGGGCATGAGTGGATTTCTATTTCTGGCTATTGTGAACAATGCTTCTATGAACACGGATGTCAGATAACTCTTTTGAGTTACTGCTTTCAGTTTTTTAGGTATACCCCCAGAAGTGGAATTGCTGAATCACATGGTAGTTCCATGCCTAACTTTTCGGTGACCTGAACAAACACTTTTCCACAGGAGCTGCATCATTCCACATTCCCACCAGCAATGAACAAGGGTTCTAATTGCTCCACATTCTTGCCAACGCTTGTTATTTTGTTGTGTATTGTTTTTTAAGCATCCACCTTAGTGGGTGTGAAGTGGTGTCTCATGGTTTTGATTTGCATTCCATGTTTTTCCAAATTTAGTCACTAAAGACTTTCTTTTCCTCTGAAATTCCAGTAGCTCCCCCCTCGCACACACACACACACACACACACACACACACAAACCATGTGTATATGAAGCCTATTACCTGGTAAATCTTAGAGTCCCTCTGCAGGGACCTCACCTGTGTCTGTCACTTCATGCAACATGCAGAGCCAGATTGGAATGGTAGAAAGGCAAGCACCTGAATTGAGAGGGCACTTTGCAATCCTTAAGGGCAAGATAAAAGTTTTCTCTCTTTTTCTCTTTCTCCCTTTCTTTTTTTCTTTCAACGCAGCAGCAGCAGCAGCACAGAACTACCATTTAGTGTCAGGCCTATGACGGCAATGGAATTGGCTGCTCCGAAGGCTCAATCCTGGATAAAGGCTGCTGCTTTGGGGGAAGCAGCTGACTGCTCTGACCTGACAGCAGGATCAGTAAATTATCCTGAGGAGCGCTGAGATGCACTGGCTCTGAAGCCATCAATCAGAGGGGTTGACTCTGTCATGACTGGCCAATGGCAACAGGCCCCCTTTATGCTACTGCATTAAACGGCCACAGACAACAGCACGTCTGTCTTCAAAGTAGTTGTGTCTGAGGTGCAGCTGGCCTGTCACCTTGGTGATACTCAGGAGAATGGTGGGTCTGATTCTTGGGCCCAAACTAGAGACATGCAGGACAAAACAGTCATGGCCAGTGTTCCTAAGTGCACAGCAGTAAAGGATAGTCACAGTGGTTTCTTTTGAGTGCACTGAAACTTGGCATTTTATTTGATGTTACAGAAATAGAAAGAGTAAGAGTGAGGGACAGTAAAGGGTTCCCCCCTCTGCTTCTAGACCTTCATGCTCTGACTCCGGTGAAGCCAGGGCCATTAACCAGAGTGAAGCTCACCTTTGCAGACCTCTGTGCTGCATGGGTCTCACTTACTTTGCTAGTAGGTCAGGAGAAGGAGTATTATAGGAGCTTCTGGCTATCAGACAGCAGAGACCAGAAAGGTAGAATTGAACTTTGGAGCTGTTCATTTCAGTGGACTTAAGTTTCTAGTGAGCAAAATTTCTAAGAGAAGAATCTGACTGGTCTGCCTGGCTTTGTTATTCACCCTCCGCTACACGCTCAGCTTTCCCATGGAGCCTGAGTAACAAATCCACCCTTAGCTCATCTGATCACAGCACTTTTCTGCAGGTGTATGGTAAATGTCAAACATCCATATCTCTAGCTATGAATTTCTTTCTAAGCCTCTTCCATACTTACATGGATTGGCTGCCTTTGGGTCACATGACACACAAACAAGATGGCTGCTCCTGTTCTTCTGTGAAAGGAGAAGGTCATGGGCAAGAGAAGTTCTTGGAATGGGGGAACTAAGTATCACAACAATGAAATGTCTGATAGATGTATACTTAATTCTATAAAAACCAGAGTTGGACTTTACATTTGTCTTCCCTGTTCAAATCTTAGAACATTTTCTATAGATTATTAAGTTATAAAAAGGATTTAGGTCAGATCTTGCTTGCATGAACAATTTTTCCCAATCATTATTATTAATAAAATATTTAATTTTTCAAACAACCCTTTGTCCTTCCACAAAGAGCAAAAATGAGAAACAATATCGGTATTGCTCTTTGGGCAGAAAATATATATACAAATATATATGTACACAAAATGCTTTCTTTAATGCACTGTCTAAATTGCTAAGATGGTGCCTAGATTAAAACCAGGTGGAATTAATTCCTTATGGCCCAGGGGTTTGGTCTAATAGTTAAGGAGTTGGGGGGGGGGCATGGACAAAGAAATTCTCGAACCACTTTGGAACTCTCATCTTAAAAGGATTACCAAGCTTTTATGCAGCATTTGTGCCTTTCTTCTAAAAGGTTTGATGTTGGTTTCCTTGTTCTTTTTCTCTCCTTCTCACCTTTAAACAGCTGTATTAAAAAAGAGTTTTTCTGGGTTCTGGAGGCTCACAGCTTTCGGTACCTCCTTCTGTCTCCTCCCAAAGGAGCAAGTCTAGAAGCAAGAAGCTGAATCTTGTAATAGTTGTACCCTTCCCTTTCACCCCTTCCAATGTATTCCTGTGGCTTTGGTGACACCATCCATCTGGGGCTCTGTTATTCACCCTCTACTCTGTGCTCTGCTTTCCTAGGGAACCTGGGTAACAAATCTACCCGTTAGCTCATCTGATCACAGCACTTTTCTGCAGATCTATGGTAAATGTCAAGTCAAACTCCCTCATCACATACTTCCTGCAGCCAGGTTCTTAATCACACTCGGGCAGAGGATCAGCTGCTCCATGGACCTGCTGGCCCCTCTCTCACACCCTGCAGTCCAGGCACCAAGCCCACTCCCAGGCCATCTAGAGGGTGTGGCCCCCTCGCAATGCTCCTGTTGGGCACCCCTCCCCTGGCCCCCATTCAATCGCACTCTAGTGACAGTCACCCAGGGTAAGCCCAGGCCTGCACACTGTGTGTTTCCATTCCGCTGCCCTCCTGTTCTTGGTATCTGCTGCTCAGCTACACTGCTACATGACAGCTCAAGTCTCCCAAGACCATTTTCAGCTTAGGGAGAGGAGGAGGGAAGTCTCCCTTCCACCACAGCACCCCTATTTCAGAGTGGCATCAGGGTTAGCCAGATGTGCCAAATTCACTGGAAAACAATGAGTCAGCCCCTAACTCTAGCCAGTTCTCCTTGCTGCTGACCCCCTTGTGTTCTCAGATGAAGGCAAGTTCCTGAGGTCCAGCATCAGGCATCAGTGTTATTGGGAGCAAGAAGACATTTGGGCATCTGGTACACGCATCCAGTGACGGTGTGCCAGATCAGGTAGGGAAAGGAAATTAAGGCAGAAAAGAAAGGTAGCTATGTCTGATATTTTATGTATTAGTAAAAGAATATTTTGGTTATAGATGACCCACATCAAGTTTAAACTATTGTGTTCAATTTACTTTGAAGGACTTAATTGGATCACAGATTTGGAGGAAGATTTGGCTAAATTAAAGCATGGAG